TGTACATTTGAATTGGAAAACATACCAGGAATCACATTCAATACATCCAAACCACCGGATGACCCGGAATCAGAGTCTAACTCATCATCCAGCCCAAGGTATATATCATCTAATGGATCTAAACCATGTCAGATCAATTGACTGAAATCAGAAAAAACAAAACATACCAAGGAACATCCAGGACTGGGAGGACTCATCCACATCCATTGAAGTGAATTCAGTGACCGGAGGGTCATGAAATCTGACCCCAGGTTGAGAACTCATGATATCTGATGAGCTGATGAACTGATGAACTGATTGATAACTGATAATGTCGAAGTTCAACAGATGGCCAGCGATTGCTGAAAGTTGAACCATGACCAAACAAACACAAACAATGAACGATTTTCAACATTGTCCTTCAATTGTATTGTTTCTTTGAAACTTCATTCTAGTGATAACAGATTTCACCCTGCTTTTAACATTCTCACATCTGTCAACTCCATCCAAATGTCTACTCAAGTTCAATCTTCCTTGGCCGACCTCAAGGCATCCACTGCTCAACTTGTGGGCATCATTGCCGGCGCCCGGCACATCCCGGCTGGCTCAGTGGACATCCACCTTGCTCTGACAAAGCAGGTCACCACTCTTTTGGTATGTTGAACTCATTAAATTAGTGTAACATTAATGTTTCTAATGTCCGGGTAGGCTGACATCATCCGGGCCTACGAGAAAGGGGAATACATCCCTGGAATTGTGGCATCCTGCTCTAAGGAGCTGATGAGGGTGCGTTCCATGACTCCCCGGGCATTGCCCAACTGGTACAGCATTGGCCATGATGACCCCCGGGTGGCTAGACACGTCTGGCGCAAGCAAGTCCGTGCCTGGGAGGCGTTGGGTGACAATTCCTGTGATCTCCCTGTTGTCCCTAACATTTCCACTGGCCCACTGACTGTCAACCTTCCGTCTCCACCTGTCCCTTCACCTGCACCTGTCCCTTCCCCCACCCCCGTCATTCCCTCACCTCCAGTCATCGCCGGACCTTCCGGCAAGACGACCCCCAAGGTCCGGGACAAAGGAAAAGGTAAGGCCACCTCCGTCGACCTGGAGCCAGAAGTTGGGGGGAGCAACAAAAGGAAGTCTCCAATGATTTCCAGACACTCCTCCCAACCTCCAAAGTTGGCGATGAAGGCACGCAAGCGTGTCAAGTCAAGTCAACTCCTGAAGTCGAAGCCGTTTGTGGAGTCAGAAGATGATGAAGACCCAATTGTTCAGGTATGTGTTCTGGCGTATTTGTGACATGCTCTCAATTTGTTGCAGCCGATTTCGTGTGGAGTGCCGGAGGTCGTCCTTCCCCAGCGCACCATTGTGGTAAGGAAGCCCCAGTCGCCTCGGTCACCTGGTTCCCCCAAGAAGCAATCATTTGGGCCTGCTTCGGTAAGTTTGCATTTTTCATTTGGACCTTAAATATATGCTCATGTGTCCACAGCTGACTGCCGGCAGTCGTCCGGAGGTTACGGTGAGTTGTTTGGACTTGTCCGGACCTCTCATGTATAGTTCCCACTCATTCCCATTACATTAGAAATCTCCCATCAGTCGTCCGGAGGCTCGGGTAAGTCTTAGAAGTTGTCCAGAAACTCATATGTGTATTAACCATCGGTCAGGCAACCTCCAGCAGTCGTCCGGAAGTTGAGGAGGAGTCCTCTGATGACACTTCCGGTGCTTCGGATGGTGACCTGCCGGCCAATACCACATTTGATATCACCATTCCCGGCCCAGTGAGTACTCCAATTAATTCCCCTTCGTCCATCTACTAATGGATACCACAGAACAACCCCTGCCATTATTGTGTCAAGGAGAATTGGCCCTGTGCGACTCGTTTGGACAAGAGGACCAGTCTCCCCTGCTTGTCTTGCATCCGCTGCTCCACCAAGAAGATCAAATGCAACCCTGCATCTCTGGGATCCTCACCCAAACGGATCCGAGGGAAGTCTACCACCGGCCAGACGTGTTCCAAGACACCTGCCCCTGCTCCATCCAATGCTCTGTCTCCCTCCTAGTCAAGGGCCCGAACTCGTAGTCAATCTCATTGCCTGTCCTGACCTCCGGCCATCCCTGCTGCAACTACACCCCAGGTGCAGTCACATGGTTGCAGCAAGACCATCACCATCAAGAAGACACCTGCACCTACACCTGTCCCTGCACCTGTCCTGCACCTGCACCAGCTGGTAAGTCACCCAAACCCTTGATAACCGGCTGACCTAATTTTTTACTTAGCAGTCAGGTCTTCCAGCATTGCAGTGCCTCGTGCAGCACTCAATGTTCCCATGCTGGATCTCCATTCCATGGCAATCACGATTCTTGAGGCTTGGGTGCAGGAGCAGGACACTAAGATTGATACCCTGCAATGCCTCCATGAGAGCCTCCAGCGCACGGTGATCGACTGGCACCCTTCATTTTCACTTCCGGACACACTGGCCGATGGATCAATGTTGCTTGATCAAGGAGGTCCCCCCCGTCCATGTCACCCCTCCCCTCTGCACTTTCCAACCTCATTGATTTGGACATTTCAGTGATGGAACCCACACCCTTGATGCCTGAGCATGGATCTGCTATGGTAGGTCCATGGTTGAGCCCACCCAAGTTCAGCCTGAGGGTCCACAATCCTCCAGCAAAATTGTGCTCCCAGATGAACCAGGCAACCTCTTGCCAGAATCCTCCGGCGATATTGTGGTCCCTAATGAACCAGGTAACCTCCTGCCAGAATATGCTTCTTCTGATGAGGAGATGGATGTTGAGGGAAAGGTTGATCTTCCTGGTGAGGAGGTTGAAATGGCTACATAATTGCTCAGTGATAGATGTACATAAATCTTTTTCAATGCATGTTACCTATGCCACAATTGAATGATTCAATGATCAGTCCTGATATCCAGAACTCGAAACTGTAGATTGAGGTAGATATCACCCGAAACCCGAACACCCGAATGTCAAATTCTCAGTGCCAAACCCTGAGTCCCGGGTGCCAGGTGCCGAGTCCCAAAATTTGGAACTCAGGATTTGACATTTGAGATGAACAACATCTCTCAGACAATGTTTAAATCAACCTACATATATCTGTAAACATTTTACTAACCCCCAATCCCCAAACCGAGATGTATCAACCCCCAAACCCCAAAACCCAAGACTGCCGGGTCTCAGGTTTCGGGGTTCGGGGGTCCCAGAACTCGGAACTCAGGAAATTTGGGGAGATCAATAAAATTTGATTTACAATCGAGTTTATTGACAAACACATTGACTTACCCATGTTTGAAATATATTTTGTTTACACATACCGAGTTCCAAGTTCTGGACCCCCGAAACCCGAGACCTGGCAGTCTCGGGGTCCGGAACTCAGAACTTGTGGAAATTTGGGGAGATCAATAAAATTTGATTTACAATTGAGTTGATTGACAAACACATTGACTTACCCATGTTTGAAATATATTTTGTTCTACATACCGAATTCCGAGTTCCGGACCCCCGAATCCTGAAACCCGAGACCCGGCAGTCTCAGGGTTCGGGGGTCCAGAACTCGGAACTCGGTATGTAGAACAAAATATATTTCAAACATGGGTAAGTCAACATGTTTGTCAATCAATTCAATTGTAAATCAAATTTTATTGATCTCCCCAAAGTTCCCCAAGTTCCGAGTTCCCGGACCCCCGAACCCCGAAACCTGAGACCTGACAGTCTTGGGTTTCGGGATTCGGGGGTTGGTACATCTCGGTTTGGGGTTTGGCACTGAAAATTTGACATATATATTTTTGTGAGTGTTGTGCTTCTGGTGTCCATGCTTATAAATAGGATATGTTGCACACCAGGGTTCAGGTGTGGGGTTTTTCCACTTCAGTCCTCAATTATTGGTCAATGCCACACATGGTCGATTCATGTTTTTGTGCTTAGGGGTTTATATTTGGTGGTCAACAGTAGGTATATGTGCTCATAGTGTACATGTATCCTACAGGTTTGATTCGCTGGTGGCTACATCAGCTGTATGTCTTGATGGAACATATCTAGGCTCACCCATATATGTACCCATCTATGTACAATTCCCCCACATCAGCCCACCCATCTATGCATTATCCCCCACCTCAGCCCACCCGTCTATTTAATACATCCTATGTTGGCCCACCCGTCTATATAATACATCCTACATTGGCCCACCCATCGATATAATTATACCCCACCTCGGCCCACCTGTCTATGTAATAAATATTTTATCGCATCCTCGGCCCACCTGTCTATGTAATAAATATTTTATCGCATCCTCGGCCCACCTGTCTATTTGATATCCCTTTCATCGGCCCACCCATATATGTAATACTTTTCATGTTGGCCCACTTGTATATGTAATACACCCCACATCAGCCCACCCATCTATGTAATATTCCCCTACCTCAGCCCACCCATATATGTAATACACCCCCGTCAGCCCACCCGTCTATATAACAATATTTGCCTTACATCTCTCTTCAGCCCAGCTGTCTATAATATCCTACTCTACATATTACCCAGATGGGCCCACCCATCTCCATGAATGATCATATTCCCCCAGCCCATCCATCAACATCAAGGATATATATATCATTGGCATACATGGGCCCACCTGTCTCCATCGGATATAATATGTGTCCCGGCCCATCTGTCATCATTGAGAATATACACAACATGGGCCCATGATCTGCTAGCCCGTCTCATACGGGATATTATGGAGGTCGGGTGGCCCATATAATATGGAATTTGTCACTGAAGGGGCTCAGGAGATGAACTGGACATCCTTGGTCCAAATAATGATATATTGTTGTGACAGTGCTGGTGCCTTATATGTATCTACAAGCGATGACGAATCTCACTACTGCTACACGGGATACTGAGACTGCACCATCCAATACCTATGGCGCTAGGATGGTGTGGTGTTTTTCTTTGTAATACCTATGGCGCTTCTGTGGCAAGGTTTTTTTTAACTAAAACTGGAAGTTATCATGCTCACTGTTCTGCAGCTGGGTAAAGGGGCTTCCGGTGCGCAAGGCGACGATACAAAAACTCTAAAGTCTGCTGTCCTTGAATGGCTTGTGCCAAGAGGACAAGTAGTCATACCGCCCCTCTCCCGAAACATCAAGTCAGATCGCGGGTTTAATCATGAAGTCACCGGTGCATTGCTCTGCCTGGCAGGCCTTGACTGGTCGAATGTAGTGTAAGTCTTTCTATCGCTCAATAAACTATCCTCACTTTACAACTCAAAACCAAGCTGAGTCTGAAGAGCGGTGACCAGTGGCCTATGTTCTTATATGCCGAGTATAACTATGATCCTGAAGATCCATGGAAGGGTTTACTGAGGAGCAAGATACTAATATTCGTAAGTTTATGCTGTCAGTAATGAACATCTCACTCAGTTATTTCCCTTGATAGGGTTTTAAACATGTTTTTACGTCCCCAAGCTCGGTGGATAGGGAACCAAAAGCTATGCATTCCAGCAATGCTTACCTCCATGGCATGAAGTCTGTTACCAAAGGATCCCTAGCCTACATTGCTACACAGGTATGTAGGAAAATCAATAAACTAAGCTTTTTCCTGCTGATTGTGCATTTAGGTTCGGTTTTCGTTGAGTTCACCGTTTGTATTTTCATGTACCGACACCGTTACGGACTCCAAAAATTTCTATCACAGCATTCTCGACCTGTTGGAGGATCCCGATGAAAGTGATGAAGTTGTTGACCTTATGACGTGGTGGACGCAGTTTGTGATTCATTTAATCAATTATAAATGCTTGAAATTAACACATTGCATAGCCATATCTTTCCTAACTCCTCATCTTCGCAGCACAGTATTAGCGAAAACAGCGCGCTGTCGAAAATCCGGGCGAAACATGCTGCCTTGCGAGAATGAGCCAATGCTGACACTACATGATCTATTTATTTTGTACTGTACTGTCTGTAAAGCATGTTAACCTATAATTTGATTGATGAATTCTCCACCATTGGCACGAACATGAGTCTATTGCAAGGAACGTAAGGATATGTGTTGGTCAAAAACAAAGCAGTCCATGTAGCAGTAGAGCTATCTGGTAGTAGCTCACCATTGTGCGATGACATAACAGCCCAATATCACACCCTGCCACATAGTAAGCAATTGCAGATCCCACCATCATAAGCTGTCTATGTAGTCATATATATGTGTGGTAGTAGCTCAACATCTTGCCATAATGTGGCAGCCCAGTATCACACTCTGCCACATAGTAAGCAATTGCAGACCCCACCATCAAAAGCTGTCTATGTAGTCATATACATGTGGTAGCAGCTCAGCATCATGTCATGACATGGTAGCCCAATATCACACTCTGACATACAGTGAGCAATTGCAGATCCCACCATCATAAGCTGTCTATGTAGTCATATATACATGTGGTAGCAGCTCAGCATCTTGTCATAACATGGTAGCCCAATATCCCACTCTGACACATAGTAAGCAATTGCAGATCCCACCATCATAAGCTGTCTATCTAAAGCTAGATATGCTTGTTAGAAAATTAGCACATTGATAGACCACGGTGTAGCACTCGAGCTTGCGCTAGGCTGGTATTCAGCTATTCCACGCATCATGTCAAATGTTCGTTGCTCAATATTCACTTCCCAATGCAACCTGACACATACCCGCTGAACCCGACACTTTGACCAGCGGACCCGATGCATCGGCCACGTCGGACCCGACATTTTTCCTGCGCTCTTGTCCTATCCGTGTCTTGTCTCATAAGCTAGCCCCACTAGGTGTGTAGTTGATTATTTCGCACATTACTCACGTCGTAGCCAGCGCTATTACATGTTTTCCCATAGTCCGCAGCGCCTCGTGTTTATTTACATGTACATCGGACCCGAAATTCTTCGGCCTCTACTTTCGCCTATAGGGTTCCGGGTTTCTACATACTTATATATATTGGTACCCACATAGCATATTCATCATCCAAGTAGTAGGGAGCCGTTTCCCGACGCTTTGAGGTCAAACCCGATATTTCGTAGTTCTTAATTGACATTGCGAATATTACCGCTCTTTCTATCCGAAACTCCCGTCATTATCGATATTCCGCATACCGCTTGCTATACCCAACAATCATTTCCCTGACCCGACGCTAACCCGCCGAACCCGCACCCGAAACCCACTAACCCGCTGTAGAGAATCATGCCTCTCATGGCGTGATATGGCAGTTTCCACTAGGGAGTATACAGCACCAACTCGCAGCACCACTCTGTGTACTGTCCACAGCGATTCCTATATGAGGCGCAGCTTTCCCGCACAACGCGCGCCATGCGCGCATAACTTCCCGCGCTTCACGATGTATACGCGCGCGCGCTTTCCCGCGCTTGCACGCCCTTTAGCGCCAGCCATCCAGATGCATCCATCCACTGTCCACCATGTTCTCTAGTGCGTATATTTCTATTTCTCTCATTGCATATTATTCCATCTTTATTTTTATCATGGACTCTCACATATATATATTTTTACATACCTACTCGGTAGCGCTTCGGCTCCGCATGACTGCGCTTAGGCACGCTATATAAGCGCCAGCAGTACTTACCTTTCACACCTTACTTTTCACCCAACTTTACCTAGTACTTACTACTTAGAAAGTCGCAGTAGAAATCTATTCATTAGCACAACACATCTCACATCCTTTATCTTGCTTATATCTTCACATAAATCTCCGCTGCACCTGCTTCCCCTTTAGGGTCGAATGCACTTGCCATCTCAAGTATCGCAGACTAGGCAACGCACGACCTACAACTTTTTAGATACAGTCAGGAGCATTTCTTTGTTCCTCTCAGTATTGTTGTTTCTACACCGCTAAACCCGAAAACATCGGCCGACGCTTTGGCATCGGACTCGTAATTATACCTTCAGATTCTGTTTCTCGTGCTCGGACTTTTGACTGTTTATCGATTGACTATAGACTTATTCCAATACCAAACCCCTCGGGTCGAACACACTTGTCTAGCAAGTATAGCAGACTAGGCTGTGCAAGACCACTACAACATTTTTATAGTGCTGACACTTACTTCGTATAGTATCTAGCATTGTTGTATCTTTACAACAGTAAGCCAATGTCATGCCCAATCACAGCGCTATTGATGGCAGCTTCTGCCATTAGAGGCTGCCTATCTAAAGCTAGATATGCTTGTTAGAAAATTAGCACATTGATAGACCACGGTAAGCCAATGTCATGCCCAATCACACCGCTATTGATGGCAGCTTCTGCCATCGGAGGCTGCCTATCTAAAGCTAGATATGCTTGATGGGAAAATGGCACATTGATAGAGTATGATAATCTAGCATCATTTCCTGACACATTGTCAATGATTATATATATTGTCATTGGAAGCTACCCATGTAAGATTAGATACATCTGACAATGATACACCAGTGTGTCAGTAGATCACAACCCAGTACCACAGGCCTATCAATATCATAGCTTTGGCAAATTTCACCTATGTAGGCTGCCTATCTATTCCTTTATCATGTGACCTACAATTATGATACATATTATTAATATTATACATTAAATAAGGCTAGATAAATCTTTGTCAAAGTCTGGTCGATTGCCTGATGTAGTCATAATCAGGATCTTCTGAGAATGAGAGAGAGCACGAGTAGATGAGGATATTTGCAAATGCAGGAGGAATTCCCTCACATAAATCTGCAATGGCGGTATCTACTTTGTGCTCGAGTATAAAGGAGTCAGAAAGCTTCTCATGGTCACTATTTAACCATGGTAGGGAGCCACGCAAGAAATATATCAGCATATAGGCAAGTGATTCAAGATCATCACAGCGACCTAGCTCCAATCCCAAGTGATTGTTGATTGAAGCGAAGGCAGGGGTGCCTGTGAGATGTTGACCTCGATGAAATGGGATGTGGGATGTGGTTGAGGAATTCCAGTATCTCTTCGTGATACCAAGATCAATAATATAAACAGTTTTTTCCAAAATATCTATCATAGTGTTTTGCAGTTTGACATTGCCATGAACATAACCGTGTGAGTGAATGTACTCCAGGCGCGACAGCTATAAAATGGGTCAGTATCTACAGCACAACACATTTGAACCAAAGTACCAGCTGGTCCCCTAAGTTTACAACAGTTTGAAGTCTGAATTTTTGGTTGCACATGAGGAAAAGATCATGCAGCGAGTGACCAAGGAGGTCAAGAGCCAAGGCATAGTGTGTTGACTCCCTGCCAAACCAAAGGATGCGGGGGATCCCAACTCCACCTTCAAGTTGCTTGAGAATGTGGTGTTCGTGCTCGAGAGAAGGTGGATTATTGGTGACTGGTTCAAGTTTGATGGCAATGATATCATTGTTAAGGAAGTTTTGTGCACGGTAGACGACAGCTAGTGTATATTTGAAACCCTGAATATCAATCAATTGACTGTTGATGTCATATGAACGCACCATATGAACCTGATCCCAAAATATTTTCCGGCCTGAATCTACCATCAATGCGTAATGGAGCCTTACTCATGCTATGCAACAGCTAAATGTTGCAGACTTTACAGTGAGAATTCAGCAGAGTGGCTTCCACGTGACTTGAGCCGACTGCAGTCAACTTGAGCTGGCTTGAGTCGACATTTTTTAATTAATGGCTCGTAGCCAGTTCGTGCAGCTCGTAAGTTGAACCAAACTGCACAATGTGGTTCAACTGATGAGTTTAACCAAATGGCAAGTGTAGCCGGTAAAAGCCGAGTCCGAGCCAGGCCGAGCCGAGCTGTGACATAACTAACTACAGCAGGTGATATATCACGATTCATGTTTTACTACTGACCTGCCAGTGATATATCACCTCCTAGCGCGCAGATACATCTGCGTGCCAGGAGGTGATATATCATAATCTCAGAAACGGGCCCACTGTAGGTTGATGTATCACCCACTGTGACTGATGGTATCAGTGATGTATCATAGAATTCAATATATTGATCTTCATGGTAGGTAATATATCACCCTCTGTGACTGATGTATTGTCGTCTTACAGTTTCACTCAAAGACCAGGATGTATCATGTACCTTCTACAATGATAGGTAATTGATAGATCATAATGACACTATCGCCTGACGTGACACCTTCCTAAGTCCAGGCGCTTTCTGACTGCTCACGGATCACCACTGCCAACTAATGCAACACAGATCGACTAGATACGGGAGAATTTCTCGTTACATTGCCTTGTCCGTCGTTACGTGCTCTCACAAGCCAGCAATCATGAGAGTCACGCAGTCAGCTCTTCAATAAATGGTTCGCTCGTGGACTGGATGTTAGGTATAGAATAGAATACAATGTATGATACACTGTACAATTGCTGTCGCGTCTAAATTGTATCTGAAATCTCCTTCTTCGGTCATCGTGGATACTAAGGTCTACAAGTATTGATATTAGCAAGTGCGACAACTGGAAAGGACTATAAAGAGACTCACCCGTCTCGACACCTCTGCCAATGTTGTCCATGTGCCATGCGGCTCAAATCAAGCTCAGCACCTCCTCTAGGTATCACCAATGCAGTCTGAGGGCTATAAAATGGGTGGCGAGAAGCGGGTGGCACCCAGAATAACAGCCGATCTTTGGGCCCAACTATCCACCCACTGTCACGATCCAGTAAAAAGCGGGTCGAGCCACAGTCATCATGGGATGCTCCCTCCATTAGCTCTGAGGTGTTGCGCAGCGCATGGATGGAGTTCGGGGAGAAGCAAATGAAGTGATTGTCCCAAGTGTTCAATGTCATGGTAGTGGTGGCCTCGATATTGTGATGTTCATTTGACAATGATGGATGATCTGCCTGGGTGCACTGTTGTGAGTGCTGGATCGTCTTGACATCCCACAACCAAACAGTGGTGTCAGATGAAGCACTGATGATGCGAGTGCGGTCCGGTGAGAACAAGACTGAGGAAACATAATTAGTGTGCCCCCGCAAGGGCTCACCGACTGGCTGACCGGTCGCAGCATCCCACAGACGAACTGTCCTATCCTGTGAACCACTGACGATGTGAGTGCCATCCGACGAGAATGAGACCGAGAAAACTCGACCAGTGTGCCCCCGCAGGGGCTCACCAACTGGCTGACCGGTCGCAGCATCCCACAGCCGAACTGTCTTATCCTCTGAACCACTGGCGATGTGAGTGCCGTCCGGCGAGAACGAGACCGAGCGAACACAATGAGTGTGCCCCCACAAGGGCCCACCAACTGGCTGACCAGTCGCAGCATCCCATAGCCGAACTGTCTTATCACTTGAGCCACTGACGATGCAAGTGCCGTCCAGCGAGAATGAGACCGAGCGAACATAATGTGTGTGCCCCCGCAAGGGCTCACCGACTGGCTGACCAGTTGCAGCATCCCACAGCCGAACTGTGTTGTCGTCTGAACCACTGATGATGCGAGTGCCATCCGGCGAGAACGAGACTGAGCGAACGTAATCAGTGTGCCCCCGCAAGGGCTCACCAACTGGCTGACCGGTAGCAGCATCCCACAGCCGAACTGTGTTATCGTCTGAACCACTGACGATGCGAGTGCCATCCAGCGAGAACGAGACTGAGCGAACGTAATCAGTGTGCCCCCGCAAGGGCTCACCAACTGGCTGACCGGTCGCAGCATCCCACAGCCGAACTGTCTTATCTTCTGAACCACTGACGATGCGAGTGCCGTCCGGCGATAAGGAGACCGAGAAAACATAATGAGTATGCCCCCACAAGGGCTCACTGACTGGCTGACCAGTTGCAGCATCCCACAGTCGAACTGTGCTATCGTCTGAACCACTGACAATGCGAGTGCCGTCCGGCGAGAATGAGATTGAGCAAACATAATCAGTGTGCCCCCACAAGGGCTCACCAACTGGCTGACCGGTCGCAGAATCCCACAGCCGAACTGTCTTATCCTCGGAACCACTGACGATGCGAGTGCCATCCGGCGAGAACGAGACTGAGCGAACATAATGAGTGTGCCCCCGCAAGGGCCCACCAACTGGCTGACCAGTTGCAGCATCCCACAGCCGAACTGTCTTATCACTTGAGCCACTGACGATGCGAGTGCCGTCCGGCGAGAACGAGACCGAGCGAACATAATGAGTGTGCCCCCGCAAGGGCTCACTGACTGGCTGACCAGTTGCAGCATCCCACAGCCGAACTGTGTTGTCATCGGAACCACTGACAATGCGAGTGCCATCCGGTGAGAATGAGACCAAGCGAATGTAATCGGTGTGCCCCTGCAAGGGCTCACCAACTGGCTGACCAGTTGCAGAATCCCACAGCCGAACTGTGTTATCCTCTGAACCACTGACAATGTGAGTGCCGTCTGGTGAGAATGAGACCGAGCGAACATGAGCAGTGTGCCCCCGCAAGGGCTCACCAACTGGCTGACCAGTCACAGCATCCCACAGCCGAACTGTGTTATCATCTGAGCCACTGACAATACGAGTGCCATCCGGTGAGAATGAGACCGAGCGAATATAATGAGTGTGCCCCCGCAAGGGCTCACCAACTGGCTGACCAGTCGCAGCATCCCACAGCCGAACTGTCTTATCCTGCGAACCACTGACAATGCGAGTGCCATCCGGTGAGAACGAGACCGATAAAACCCAACCAGTGTGCCCACTGAGTACGGTCTGAACAGCCGGCCAGTTCATAGCACGGCCAGATGCTATGCGAAGAATATTTGGGAATCCTGCAGAAAGCATATTCCATAGCGGAGATTTGGCAGGCAAGAACGGGAGTGCTGATACATACAGATGCGGTGTGCTGTGTAGAATCATGCTGCCGAAGACTTGAATGAATCTCTGGACATCTGTAGTAGTCGATGAGACATCTTTGAATTCGGAATGGCCCTGATGTCGAGCATCAGCGCTTTATCTGACACTCTGTAGTAATGTACTCACCTTTAGCCACTGAGGAATGAGTGAAAGGGCAGAAACGGCACCACTAAGAGCACCGATCAGAGCAAGTAATTCGAGCCATAAAAACAGCCGTTCGTGGTCGAAGAACAATTTCGCTTCTTTGGCAAGCTCCTTGTCGAACGCTGTGGTTCGTACGTGCGACGTCCAGAATCGAGAGGAATATGACAGATGTGGGGGGATACATTTTTCGACTCGTTGTTGTAATCCAGGATCTTTACTATTAGGTAGATACGATGACTTTAAATCACAGATGTTGAAGCGCAGGCCATGTTCCATCACTCGAAGCGACGCAAATGCAAGGTTATGTTGAGCCTTCGATAAGTCGATAAAAAACTCCCCGCTGGATGGTTCATCTGTCAAGAAATCGCGGAAGGATGCGTGAAGGGGTCGGATTGGGGAATCTGTATTGGTGGTACCGCTGAGGAGGGAGCCCATGCTTTTTACAACAACCTCCACGTCGAAATCGTCCTCTCGAGTTGGAAAATAGCGCCTCATGGCGTTCAGGGAAGTTAAAGGAAGGGGTTCTGCTGTGGCTAGTATTTGTCCCATCACCGAGCGGAATCTCGCTAGCGCTGTCGAATGCGATTTCTGTGAATGCTGGATATGGCTGGATGTATCCTTGGGCATGATATTTGTTAAAATGAGGCCGTACATGCTGTGCAACAGCATGCTTCTCTCAGCAGGATCGCATGATACTACGGCGTTGTAGCAATCGTGTGGAGATAGTCCTACGTGGGACTCTTTGATGTACTCGCAGGCAAGACGCGCCCACTCGAAAAGTCCGTCAGCTTTTTCAGCGAGGACCGCGAACTCTCCGTGCTGGAAATCTAGCTCCTCCAACTCCTTGGATACGTAAGCATGGATGTCGCGCTTTGCGTCTGCTGTTGGGATGTCATCCATGGACACCTGTCGAATATGCCCAACGCCACGAAACGCGTCTTTGATGTCACCGAGCGGGCGAGAGGTGACGATGAAGCGGAAGTTGTGTGGGAGATTTGTGATTTTGGGAACGTCGGGGTTCTGATGTTTGCCAGCTAGAATGCGGAGGAGGTCTCTCCGCGTCTCTGCTCCGCCGCTCTCATCCAGCGCATCAATCATGATCACAATGGGGCCCGCGGTGGACCCAGATGACTTCTCCAGCGGTTCGATCAGAAGCTTTTGCCACTGCTGGGTGATATCTGCTGTATTCTTCAGCGAGTTTGAGTCCTGAACTGCATCTACTAATGCCCGCCTCATCTCCGGGTCACGGTCAGCCAGGTCGCGCGCGATCGTGGAAAAGATCTTTTCGTGGCGACGATCTGCTTCTCGCTGACGGTCAAAAGAGTAGCATGAACCGAGCCCTCCCACGTTGTTGAACCACTTAGCGATGGTGTGGCCGATGGCCGACTTTCCGTACCTGCAGGGCCGGATAACCACAGCACGCGTGGAACATTGTCCCCAGTGCTGTTGACCCGTTCTGTAATCTGGGAAAGGATTGCTGTGCGCGTCCCTTGGAGACATTGTTTCCTGGTATCCAGGCCTGCGCCAGCTGCATAAGTTATACCACTGAGATCCAATATTTCTCCTGAAAAGGTATGAGTAGATGTTAAATCACCAACACGTTCAAACACTTACCCGTACGGTGGATGTGTATAGCTACGTCGTGAGCGACTTGGTCCCGGAAGTTTTGCATGAGCGTATCCAACACGTCACTGTACTGTTGGATTGTATCTTCTGTTTCTGACATGACATTCTTTCCGAGTCTCTTCCCTGTGATATCAATAGAAACTTGAGACGGTGCAGAGTGTGACAGCTTCTTAAGACTCACAAAAGTTCTTGGTCTCAGAATATTTTTGGATAAATTGAGCGCATTCGAAGGTCTGTTGAGAGATCTGTCCGAGGATAATGCGCATCGACGAGATTTGGCCAAGCATTCGATCTTGTGTTATAAAGTCATAAACTTGACACAACTTCTCGAGAAGTGTGAGTACCGCTGCGTCGAGGTCTGTTTGAGCTAGAATAATCTGCACGAATGATTGCTGAGTGATGTAAGATAGGAAGGGATGAAAAGAAAACGTACTTTAGCTGCACAAGACAACACGCCCAGCGCCATCTTTGCATATGGATGTAACTGTGGAATAGCATTAGTTCGGTTCCAATATAGTAGAAGGCCCATACATCCGCGATCTCTCCAATAACAGCGTCGAATATCTTGAGGGGTTTGAGATGTGTGTCCCCGAACTTGCCTGCGGTATGGAGATCCTCTTGTGCTTCCTTGCCAGGAGACGCCGCAGTTATCGCACGTCCCGAAAGTAAATGCATATGATCCATAGCATCTTGTGCACCCCAAAGTACTGATTGGACATCATCCTTCACTTTTACACCGGACGGACCAGCCTGAGCCTGCGCGACCACCGAAATTTAGAGGAAGCAGAGAAACTAAAGGATAAGTATGGGAACTCACCTCGATATTCGGGGTCGGTGAAACAGGTTCATCATGACTGACATTCGGGGGAGCAGGACTCTGGCTGCAGGAATCCTTTGAGCGCTTGTTGCAATGTTAGTCGTATTCTAGGATACTCGCTACACATGCTTGTAGACTCACCCTCCTCAACATTTTCGCTTCTTCTTTGAGCTTCTTCAGAAACCGACCGATTTTACTACGGGGTCTATGCTAGACGAAGGATATGTCGATGTCAGTGTTTGGAGTGGAGCGATGTGATCCTCTTAAGCCACATACAGAGCTTCCAGGAGCTGTTGCTTGACTAGGTGTGTGGTTTTCTCGAGCCGAATCTCTCGATGAATGATTGTCTTTGCTCATCATGAATAATGGTTGAGTTGAAGCAAGAGGAGGGTTCCACGTTATTCATTGTTGCATGCGCAACTTGAGGAAGCCTGGAGGCAGGGGCGAGCCGTGAGACTGAAGCTATAAATAACCAATTGAATTTCGACCGCATTCAAATCATTCTGCGGTCGCTTTACGACGACGTGCATGACCATCGACTGTGGATGAAGTTATGGAAAGCCGGAGCACCGTGCTCGTTTTGCCAGCGACTTTGGTCACATGCAGTTGAGAGACCCCAAACACTGCGTGCAAATAATACTTCGATATAAGCATGTCAAAACAAAACGTGAATCTACAAGTGACTGTTGACTGAAATTCGCACATTCAAGCGGCCATGGTGAGGGGGTTAGGGTTATTCCGTATAAGGCGATCCGTTCTGGAACGGATCGCCTTATACGGAATAACCCTAACCCCACCATGGCCGCTTGAACTTCGGTGGCTTGTATATTAGTATGATTTGTACAATACATGTGCTGTCACATCTTGGTGTTAAAATTGATCGCGGAGAAACAATCCATGTTTAGACTATGACGACAGAACAAGAAATTCAACCAATCTACTATGCAGAGTCCATATCCGCCTCTGTTCCCATCTCCATATCAGCTGTCCCCAATTCCATTCCAGCTGTTCCTATCTCCATCTCCGTCCCTATCTCTGCTGCTTTATAAAGTTCTAGCTTAAAGCCGCTCCATTTACAATAATTATTGCAATTGTGCTTCTGCTCGAATGCACTGACTGCACGTTCAATATTGCCATCCCCAAAGACATCCTTGCCATTGCTGACTAAGCTACAGTCCCTGAATGAGTGATACATCATTGCAAAGTGAAAGAAAAAATCACATACGGATGAGTAAGAACTTGAGGGTCGGACAAAATCTCGGATCCACCTGCAGCGCAGCAGTCAGCCTAGAAGGTCATGTACGATACCACACAATGTTGGATACCTTGATAATCGGAGATGAAAGCGAGACCGCCAGTTTTGGCGTATTGTATATGTTGTGTGCAAGCTAAAAATGCAGCAATTTCGTAGCCAACCTCATATGGGTCAAGCATTGGGTTGCAATCCATATTATGGATATATTTGAGGAAGTCGTCAGGGATCAACTCTTCAACAAGGTACCCAGCCCGAGGCATCCGAGTCGGCGACTTCGATTTATGGCCAGGTTGTACTTGATCATGTGATAATGCGAGACCAGCCTCAACAAAGCGCATGCGAGGGATGTGGAAGGGTGGAGGTTCAGACGAGTTCGAAATACAATGGTCAATGTACTCATATGAAAATGTTAGCAATGCACGTGCCCAGTAAAGCACATTTGCCTCTTTGAATAGCTTTGGAAGCTCATCGCTTATCGTATAACGTCCAATCGAGAATCTCATCGGGTTTTTGCTGCTGCCCGGAGGGTAATTCTTGTAAAAGGGTCGCTTGACTGCAACCTTTTGGCGTGGACGTGAACCTAGGAGAGTTTCGGGGGCTGAGAACAGTGTCAAGAAACCTGGATGGGCTGTTTTGAAGCCTCCGGCGCCGAGCATATCATCTGTGGAAGTCTGAATTGTAAGCTGGCCGCTATGGCCCAATTCGGTATCCATGCGGAAGGCAGCGTGAAGCTCCGGGTCCTCTAAAATGACTGATAGTGGGCGTGTTGGGACAGGGAAGAATTCAATGGTCTCGTGCTGGATAGTGAGCACTACAAGTGACGTTTAGAGAAGGACTTGAGAGTGAGGTCATGCTTACTTTGTTCGACGTTTATGTTTGCAGTCCCACCAGACTTCAAAACTTCCCTTAGGTGTTCTCGATCTGGAGAATGGAAAGCAACCTTAGCAGGCGCTGCTTTCTTGAGGGGAGGTGAGGATGGGATACTAGTGATCTCACGGAGAAACCGCCGCTTGACTGGCACTTGGGATGACACTTCAGACGGCGCTTCAGATGATGGTGCTTCAGATGATGAGACGGTCAATGAATCAGCTGCTGCGCTCAAATGGACATTCTCTTTCACAGAAGGTGTGGAGAGTAACTCGGGCCGTGAATGCGTGCTAAATCGTTCCTAAGGATATAGGATTTCATGTCAGTAAGTACCTATTTGTCATTGTCAGATGAGTACGAACCTCTTCAGCTTTATCAAGCCATGTCTCGTAGTTCTCCCACTGAGACATGGGTACAACAACGTACAATAAGAATTGTTTTGGCTTGAATGTCATAGCGCGTGAGCCTTTGCGAGTTGCATGCATACACTGAGAGTAAAAATAAGGTTGACGAGGTGGATGGGTTGATAAATCAACCCATCCACCATCCCGAATGACGAATTGGTCTTGGCGCCATGGAAAGCCTCCTGCAAAAGCTTGTATCTTTGGCCAGATGGTGTCCAGAGCGAGTGCAATGAGTCCTGGTGCATCAATGCGTGCGTCAACGTCTTTCTTGCCCTCGCATATGTTCTGAAATTGAAAGCTGTCAGTACAGTAGCATTCTGATTCTATGGTACGTACTCCAAATGGTATGCCATGGGCGCCCTTCCTCCTATTTCCACCTTCTCGTACAGCCGAGACTTCTAAGCTAATAGTCTCTGCTGGGGGAACAGCATATGCTTGCTTGGCCCAGCGTTCTCGTTCAGCGCCATACTGTGCATGGTTTGCTGAGTAGCCAGGCTGGCCAGTGTTGGTACTGCCCCAGCTGGAAGGAACGGCTATATCTGGCCCAGCACGACCATAAGAGGCACTAGTGGCAACTACACGCGGTGGCTGCTGAATGGCCCCAACCGACGCTGAGAATCACGTTAGTAAAGGTAAAAAGGATGCAAGTATAAGGACGAACCTGGTTTCCATGCGGCATTGATGTTTTGCCGGATAACTTGAGCATCAGGACACTGAACAGTGGGCCTTATGGATGTTGCTGCTTTGCCTTGATAGTGTCGGTGACAAGCTGCGCACACAAAGCGCCCGCGTTGGCCAGTGACTATTGTAGCAATGTAGAAACATGGATCTCCCTTATGAATTTTTGCAGCACATGTAGAGTGTTCACAGATGCGGTCTTCGTTGGCGAATGCGTCTTCAGTGAACTGTGACACAACTTCGTAAGAGGCCATGATGAATAGGATGAGATTTCAATGCGGGACATGACAAGTTATATACTGTAATAAACAGGCATACTAGATCATCTGGATGTCCTGTATGCGACCAAAGTGAGAGCACCAAGAACGAAGTGAAAGCACCAAGAAAAGTGAGAGCACCCACCAAGTAGGCCAGTAGGCCGTTTCCATCATCTCAATATGCTCCGTCTCAGTATGCTCCGTCTTGATATGCTGATATGCTGTATGAACCTGCCAAAGTGAGAGTGCCAAGAACGAAGTGAATGAGAGCACCAACCAAGTAGGAGACCATAAGCCTCATCTTGAAGAGCGCCGGTTGTTGTATAAACCGTCTGAATGTGCTGCACCGAATGAGAGCACCAACCAAGTAGGAGACCATAAGCCTCATCTTGAAGAGCGCCGGTTGTTGTATAAACTGTCTGAACGTGCTGCACCAAATTAGAAATTAGGTTGATCAGACCAAGTGTGAACATCGAGAACACCATGAACTTCACCTCAATCTTGAAGAGTGCCGGTTTTAGAGAGAATCACCTTGTTGCAAAACATTCAGCGAAACCATCCTGAAGGGGATTGTACAAAGAAAAGAAGAGAGGATACTCGCCTTGAGATGTTGAGACATGATTGCTGTGAGTAGACGGCTTCTTGCTTTTGACTTAACTGGGGTGCAAATGCGGCTATGAAAGGAGGTGACTAGAGATAGTGGTTCAGTGTGCAATGCTGGTGAACGTTTCTCTAGTCCGCGGAGTCATGTGTATTCAAAATGGGTATGCATGTTGTAGGATGGAGAGACTGAACTCATTTATGGTTGAAGGACCACTGGTATCATCTGCAATGCTGGTGAACGTTTCTCCAGCCAGTCCGCAGAGTCATAATGGGTATGCTTGGCGCAACCACTTCGATTCGTATTGAGCATCACTGACGTAGCCACTTGATAGAATCACGGAGTATATAACAGAATATTGTAAATTGCGACTGTCTTGCATCTCCACCATGCCTAACCAGTATAAACCCACGCGTGAGTCCACTTACTTTACACCCTGACTTTAATCTTGACACAAATCCTAGCGCCCTTAGATGAGCTCACGCCTCACATCCTGCGCTATTGGAAGACACGTCTCAATGATAAAGAGATCGTTCTGGCCTTACAGAAACATTTTGATACAGAACGCTATGGTATTGGGTGCGTAATAGTTATGATAAGCTAACTCTACCACTCATTTTTTATCTTAGGCTTACAAAGTTTCGCCAAATTCGTGTGGATATGGGCCTCGAACGCTCGCGTCGGCAGGGTCACACTATAGAGACCATCCGCGAAGCTGTCATGGAACTTCGGCAGATGTTCCCTCATGCTGGAACACGAGAAATGATTGGTCTACTCTTTCACGAAAAGAACATGAGCGTAGCTAAGTAATTCTCCCAATTCATTGTGTTGTCAGAGACTTATAGACTACACTAGGTCCGTCATGATGTCGTACTTTGCTGCGTATGAGCCTGAATTAGTACGGCAACGTAAAGCAAGGCGACTGAAACGGAAGCGCTTCTGGGCGGCTGGCGTCAATGATCTCTTTGCCGTTGACCAGCATGACAAGTGGCTGAGGTTTGGGCTCGGTCTCCACACTGGAGTTGAACTGTTTTCAGGGCGGATCATGTGGATTAGAGTATGGCACTCCAACCGAAATCCGCAGTTAATCCTTAGCTACTACCTTGACACAATCACAGAACTTGGTCGTAAGTTTCAGATATACCTCTTGTAAATGCTTCACTGACACAACTGCCAGACATGCCACTAATCACTCAATCCGATTTAGGCACCGAAAATTATGGCATTGCCAATGCACAGACGCTTCTTCGCCAGCGCTATGACCCAACCCTGCAAGGAACTCTGCAGCATCGTTGGATGCGTACAAAGAAAAACGTAATGCCGGAGATCACTTGGTCACAACTCCGGCGCAGGTTCACTCCTGGTTTTGAGACCTTGCTGGACGAAGGTGTCATTGAAGGCTGGTATGATTCAGGGAATACCCTTCACATGTTCGTAGCACTTGTCTTACAGTTTTATGTACTCATAATGTCTTGCCATTCGTCTAGGATGGTCTTTCGTTGGGTTTTTATACCCTGGTTGCAGCAGGAGCTGAATGCTTACAGGGATCGAGTGAACAATACTGCCAAGCGGCGTGACCGCAACAAGGTAATTTATTCATACCCGTCTTGTGACAATGCGCACTTATGATTTCTCTAGATACTCCCACATGGCGTCCCGAATCTTATCTATGATTCTCCTGAAGATTTCGGAGCTTTGGATTTCAAGGTATTTTATTTACATTAGTGACGCTGTGTGAAGGCTTACTATGCCAACTAGGTTTCTATAGATCACGAGGGCATCGACTACGTTCGTAATTTCTACATCAATGCTTCGAATCCAGTGTTTGATATTGTCCCACCTATGCTTGGTGACTTTATCGAACATTGCTATGATGCAATGGGACGCCCTGCAGTCACTCGGTTATCAGTTTGGGATGTGTACAGGAACATACTGTCTGCTGTACAGCTTGCAGAGAATCCGCATCCCAACTTACTACTGACGGAAAACGAAGATGCTCACGCTAGTGCATTGCAATTGATTGGTGGCCATGCCGATTTACCTTTTAATGAGGAAATGGATGGCATGTACTACATGGGTGGTGTGCGTGGAGGATTGGGCCTAGGTACTTCGTGAATCTCCTTCAATAAACAATATACTGACGAGAGCAAAGGTGATTCTCACATCCATGACTTAGATGCTCTAGCCGAGCTTGATGAACCCAATGTTCCATCAGATAACGGTCCTATAGAAAATGGTGTTGATCACACAGCCTTGATAGTTTGGCAATTTTCAAGTGACGAGTCGGATAATGATGGCATAGTGGATGAATGGTGACATTTGATTGTGTTAGTGTACCTCGTAATTACTTGAATTATTCATGCAAATACTTGACTCTGGCTCCAAGGCGTGTCAGGTGTCCTGTAGAAACTTGTTGCCTTATTAGGCAATGCACGTGAGCAAATTCAGTCACAAAATGAGCACGGTGCTCCGGCTTTCCATATGAAGTGGATGACTATGACGAAATACATACTTCAATTTCAACGAGTGCAAGCGAGCAGTAGTACGGCTCAAATTCATTCAATCGAGATTCGAGAAGTACGAGCTTGAGAAGAAATTGCAAGCAGGTGACCCAATAATTCAAATTGCGCTCGAGATAGAAGTCTTAGAGTTGGCGAAACCACCGCGTGTTGACCACACGTGCCAGCAGTCACTGGACGGCCATCGTTTACATAATCATCGTGACTTTAACGTCCCCTTACACGTGTCCACCTCAATGCCAGTCTGGTATTACCGCTCTTATCATCAACCCTTGATGAATTTGATCCGTTCATGATAAAATAGTAAGTCATACAACATTTCTCATCATGATCGTGGACTGTTGACTTGCGCTACCTTAGATCGGCAGATCTTGCCCGGATGGCAAGAGTACTTGCATAAACTGCAGGACATGAAGTTAGGTACGTAGCTGCTCGCTCTACTGTAACAATTCTATTGACGGTCGGGAAGTACTCATCAACTCCGCACGTGGTATTGGCATCCTCAACGTTAATCGTAGCACCATATTCGCATCGCTACAAACCTCATGCTGGTTCTTGGGGAACTCCATTTTCTCCTTACGTGTCTGACCTATTAGGACGGCAAGACACCCAAGCCTCAAGCTCATGCCATGCTCAAATTAGCTCAGCGCCTTCAGGTTCATCCCAGAGATTTCTGATAGCTAGAGGCTTGGTGAGTCTCCCATCAAGTCAATCATAAGACATTCATTTATTTCTTTCCAGGAATCACAAGCTGCGCGTGTCCTCTCTCAGTGCCGTTCAAATGGGGGAGACGAACGCAACCCTCTAGTGGCTTTTGATTTGGCTCCAATCCGACATGCTTTGAACCTCGAACGAGAGTTCGCTTCTGCCTAAGGTGCTTCTCGACTCCCGGCAACAGACAGCGCATGTTTGCCATCGTGTGGATCGCCGCAGCATTTCTCGCAGTGGAGGTTTGATCAGTCCCGTTCTATTTTGAAGATTGCCATTGACGTCCGCCTCAGAAGTAATTATCTGGTGTCGTATTGCATCAACACGGTCTTGGATAGGGTGTACGTTTTCGAGGATTCCAGATGGTACATAACCTGACAAACGTTTCAACAGCGGTATCACCCAGACTAGAATGAAAGTAGCCATTGACGATGGTCTACAGATTCATCCATGGTCTTTCAGAAGCGAAACTCAAAATGGATGCACATTTCACGCGTTTAGATTTTCAATTTACCTAGTGCGCTCGCTGGTGGGGACTGGGCAGGATGATGGTGGATAAACTAGGGAGGAGGAAAGTTTCTCAAACATCGGAATGCCAACAGGTCAGTACTGTTTTGCGACACTGGATCGTCAAAATTGAAGGCTTATCATCTGTCCAGCTTTCTCTTCTATGTGGACGGTCACGACTGTTCTTTTTAGCCAGTCTGGGAACGTGGCAGCATGTTCGTCACCTTGCATGTATGCTGGTGCAAGCTAATGATCGATCGATCAAGCTCCAACAGCTACCGTGCCGCTCATTTTGATATACTTTTTATCTACAACTTTAAAGTGTATACTTCGATGCTTGTGTTATATACGCTCGAGATCCTGCTTTATAATATTCGTGGCAAATGTTGACACACAGGTACGCTTCCCGCATTCCCAATATGTCGTTCTTCTCGCTTCTTGCTATGTATCGTGACGGTGCTTGCGCACCAGTCCCCGACTCCTGATTCCAACCTGCTCGTTCTCAAAATGACATGCACCGCAACGTGTCATCGTATTTCAAGTCGTGGACATCGATTTATTCACGACAACTTAATTTATCTCACGTTAAGGGCATGTATCAAATCCAGTACTGTAACCGTACGTACCAGCAACACAAAACAGAGTGTGGTTCAGATACATGAGTGCAGTAAATGTTACATATGCAAGATGATGCGTACCGTAAGAACCACGAGGTGGTACATCATAGGTGCAAAGTAGGACACTCTGTGGCCCGCAACATCCGAGAAGAGAAAGCACACTGATCAATCCGCTTTCGACTGGCCATCTGGAGTGATCAAAGCCGACCCGACCAAGAATGTGCACAACAGTTTCGATGACCTTGATAACAACAATCAGAAACAACATAAGATAAACAAGGCAAAGGACGCTCAGTATGCCATAGGCTACCCAACCGCCTGCGCCTATTGAAATCTGAACGAGCTGTTAGCATTGGACTTCACGGAGACAGGCAGCCTTACTGTTAGGGTCAAAATAACTAGCGGCACCGCAACCATGAAGGAAGTGATGAGGCAAAGGACAACAAAAAAAGTTTGAGAGGCCTCACCACACGCGTGACAGTTGGATAACCTACAAAAGGCTTGTCCAACCTCGCATGGTGTACTGAACCTTGCTCACCTACAAAAGGCCGGCGAGGACAGTAGGGGATGGGCCGCAACAAACAATCCGCACCACACAATGCCCAGTTAAACTTTTGACAGCCTCATATGGAGGAAGAGCCATGTCATATCCTCCATATTCATTGACCGCATCAGTTAACCAAAACGGAGGCAGAGCCAAGTCATAGCCACCATTGGTTCTGAGTATGCTGTAGTTAAGGTTGCAAGGTCGGGTACAGAGAAATTAGACGTATCGATGTGGCAATGACCCTCCTCTACTAACGTGGGAGTTGGGGACGCTGTCACATGACTGAGAGAACGTGGCACTTTTTCCTTGAGTGATGTCACCACTCAAGGAAAAAGTGCCATGTGGCTTGCATCATGTGACTTCCAATTCAGAAAAAATACTTGTAAAATGTAAATAGCTTATTTATTCGAGTTTGAAATTTGAAGTGCGAAGAAGCACCGAGTCTTATGGCCTCGTGTGTTTCTGACATGACTAAGTGAGCGCGGCAGTCCTGCCTTGCATAGAGGAGAAAAGAAGACCTGGACGTGCCAACGTTATGACAGTATGATTATATCTTCGTGTTCACTTATTGATGGCGATGCTAGATATCGACGAGCACGTCATTTTCCGTTCGTCTGAATTTGAAACTACAAGGCCCGATTCACAGAAGTTGTGACCTAATTTGAATGCAAAGCGGTGACATTTGCAATTTTGCATATCTCAGATACCCATCATGTGTATGCAGATTGATTTGGTGCTACGCACAATGTTGTGTTTTACATCAGAGCCACACTACGCTAAATGTACTTGTGACATCATAGCTCGATGGCCGCAGCAAAGAATAACGAGGAGCAGGAGAATTAGGTATGGAGAGGTGTACTCTGAGAGCAGCCCGAGTGAGTCACTTCATTTGGATCTCCCCTACTTTTCGTTTCCGACTTTTTTCACTTTCATCCCAACAGAATGTGACCTTGGACAAGCTGTTTTACTCCTCAGTCCGGGTGAGCAAAAACAGAGACAGAGCTGACCGGTATTCATGCATTCAAAGTAAGGATGTATCCCATTCCTCTAATTCTTGTTTCGGCAGTAAAGCGCTGCATGGTGGAACATTTAGCACAGACGAACACCACCCATCACCAGGTTCGCATTCGTTTTCTAACAACATGATCCTAGTATCAAATGATTCCATTCGGTGGCCGTTTACGCTCGACTCAAATGACCAGTTATGTTGTTGGTTCGTAGAGAACCATTGGACGATTCATGACTATGTGATGATCTAGACTATAGTAGCCCTGCGCTTTTGCAGCAGCCTTCTCTTTGGGGTTGAGGTATGATTGGGGTGAGCAAGATAGTATTCAAGTGTCACTGGTATGCTTATGGTGCGTTTGCATTGACTTTTGGGCGAGAGGTAGGTCGGTATCATTACTGGAGCAATCATCTCGCTAATCGCGTATTTACAGGTCGAACTAGTCTGAGGTAAACAGAGTCTCGCATCAGAAAACAAACGGTAATACGATTAATGCGCGACAGAGGTAACATTGGTCATTCATGACTGTTCTGTATCTCAGTGTACGTATCTCGTGTTGCAAGTGTGGTTGAGACGCTGTACTGACTTGACAATATTCTAGATCCGCTATGCCGGTATACCGCATGCGATGTACGTTTGGATGGCTAAACAATTGATGCTGTGTTGATTAGCTGACTCGCATACTCAGCATCAAGACCCAGTGTATGTCTACTCACACACACTCCATATGTTTCCTCTGATCGACGACATGTAGTATCTCTTCCGAGAATTTTGGTAACAGAATTAGTGAGTATTCTTCACCGTTCTCTATCATTCATATCCAATCAATTGCACTCCCCTGCAGGCGTGAGTGAGTTACCGAGCCTCCTGGTTCGATATAGTGATCGCCATAGCTGTGAGTTTGTTTAAAGTTATCATGCGAGGCTGTTAACCAACATCGCTTGATTTTTTAGGTCGTATGGTGTTCGATGCACTCAGTCGGATGAATGTTACCATGACTTTAGTATTGGGTGGTGAGCTACGCAGCTGCATTACCTTGACTGGACTGACACAACGTGCAAGTCATGATGATCGCTCAGTTGCATGCCTTGCATCAATCCAGATATCTCTCAGTGTTATCTTCCTGGCTGTCAACATCGCTGACAGAGTGATCGCCGCAATGGTCATGAGTCGTGTTTCGTCAGGTAAGCTTTAATTTTGGTAAATGGTGGACTAGAATGCGCAAGGCTCGTTCGCAAACATAGAGGTGTTCATTCTCTTCGGCATCACTCAATACGCTTCTGACTTCCAAGGAATCTACTTCTGGCTTTGATGACTTGGATTCTCCCCGCTTTATGGGAGGTCCTCGCACTATGCCTCACAGTCCAGATTGCTTTCAAACGCTCCGTAAGCTGCAGCGACCATTGACAAGATGGCTTAATGCCAGAGACTGTTTTGAAAACTTATGTCTTTACTTTCAGTTTTGTTGCCATTTCCGGCTTCATCCTCCCTTTACATTTCGAACGGCCATAGCGGTATGTCAATGTGACACTGACTTTCGCATGCGACCATCGTTCATCATCACTACAGGACACAATCGTTGCGGAACGTTAGATTTATTTTCGTTTTGCTCAAGCTTCATAGTCACGTTCTGGAACCACGCCTGCTTCTTGATGTTCAAAAATATCACGCAAAGCTCGTGGTCCACCCCAAAACAGGTCCTTGCACGACTTCAATTGGTGCATGTGTCGACCAGCATCAGCGTGTGGCATGGAAAACGCTTGCTGTTTTTGCCGCACGCCGTATTCTTTCAGAACGGGAGCGAACTCGCTTTTCTTTCAAATATTTCATTGTGATACTTATAAGTATAAACTATTCATTGTAAACTTGGTAGAGAACCTATAGGTCTGGGTATATCGTACAGCGTAAGCAAGGTTTCTGTTAAGCATCGTAACATTGCGCTAAGCTATCCGAATCAAGAGTAGATTTTGAAGGTACGAACAAGAAAGATTAGTTCTCCCAAATGTTGTTAAGAACTGCGAGTGGCCGTGAGACACATTGGAGGCTACAGCGGAGGGTCTTGTGAGAATGCGAGAGACGGGAGGAATGCTGCTGGAGAAGAAGTATGTGGCACAAGCAGGTAAATTATATGCCAGTCAAGCGATACAGTCAAAGGACTCATGCCGTCTAGTAGCAGGACTGACCAGGGACAGATCAATTCCGAAATATCGGAGGCATCGTAGAGGCGAGTGATGCTTTGCCAAAGGGTGATTTTAACGATTTCAAGTTAGTCTAATTGACGGTCGGACATACATTCGTCGAGCACTGGAACTGTCATACTGGTAATCTGCTTGCTTCATTTTGTCATCGGAGCTGGTGGACAAATACAATCGAGTCAACTATTCAGGCAAGGACAGGTGGGATATCTTAGACATGGTAAGGATTTGAATGGGATTCAATCTTTGGTCTCTTCGCAGCGAGAAGGGGAGCCTAAGGATGAGGGAAAAGACTGTTGATGTGAATGATACAAGGCGCGATACAATGATAAAAACCTTTTGACATGCATATCGTTTCAGTGCACGTGGTAGCCCTGGGCCACGGCTCCGAGAATATATCAAGGTTTGATGAAAGACTCTAGGTTGCGTCATCGAAACAATCATTGCAACGTTGAGTACCTGATCAACGCTACAATTAATAATGTTAAGGTAAATCACTGGGCCGGTCACCACAACGACAACACGAAGCCTGATGGCAGTAGGGTACATAGTAAGTGTCCAGGTGTGCAGTGAACGGAGGTGACATGCAACATCCCATCGCATCTTCCCGAATCCCGTCGGATACACTGTTTATCCAAGCTTTTCCGATTCCGAAAACATCGCATCCTTCCGGACCAACTTGGACACATTTACTTCACAACATGGCTGTCAAAACGCGCGCGGTCGACGCCGTAGTATTGTCCTATAATTAACTCAAAGTTCGCTTGCATATGTGTCTTCCTACTATCGAGTGAGTGTTCGAAATACATGGACAATTCCTGTCGTTCAAGAATGTTAATGAATTGTCGTCTGATAAATAAGTCGTATGTTGACCTAGTACTACTGAACACAATGTTGCCATATAGGGACTTACATTCGGCGTCTCAAGACCAGCATGCTCGAGCGCAAAAGAGTATATGCAACTGGCAAAACTTGAACCACCCCCTTCTTACGCTAGCAACCTCAACCTACTCTTCCCCCAAAGTCTATCAGGGCTTTCCCTCGCGATTGGATGGGCACATAGCGACAGTGCGTGAGTGTACGGTACAGCAACACAACGTGATCAATGTCATGATGTGTTGGCCCTTGGTGTGTGCCACTGTGTATGGCGGATGTTTTCAAGGTTAAGTTTTGTCAAGACTCGAACAACTCAACGATCTGACACGGGTCTACAAACCTAAAGCTCATGCCTCCAGTCATCGAGATCCATGGATTCACTTGAAAAGTGCCCTCCTTGTCAGTGCTGTCCCCTCAAGCAGGTGCCGATAATGTATCCTCTTCTAGATGCGAGCATCACCATATCGTTCGGTTAAGATGATGATGCGTGGAGACATTGGAGAGGGCTCATACATGGTGCATGTGTGGAGATTCAGCGACAGATGTCGATTTTGTACGATACGATGAGTCCGTGCTTAGCATATAGAAGTGGGTCAAATATCTCGGTTCGTCTATCTCAATTTTCTATCTGCCACTATCGTAAACCACTCACACATGGCACATTAGTTCTGTCTCTTCGCGTTGTCCCACGTTCACAAATTGCCGTACCTCCGAATCTCTCATTCAACTACTTGCCAAGAGTTCACACTCTATGCATAGCCCAACCTCTCTAGCCGCCACAGATGACCCTGTAACTAAATCTTAGGAATACACGGATTCATCATCTCTACAGTTCCACAATCAAGTGAACGTTGCGGACGACGGTCATTGACCTTCACACCCACGTTGCAAATTGAAGGTTCTGCACTAACCATTTTGGCATCCTTACGATACGAAAGCCCAATGGCTAAGGAACAGAGCGAGAAGTTCGAGTTTTCAGTCACGCGACTGCAACGTCTACGTGGAGTGCACAGATGCTCACCCCTTGATCTCATTTCGTTTACTCAAGCACTGGAGAGTGGTATACGTATATATAGCGCGAATGTTACTGTCATACATCTATCAAATTCGCCTCTCACCCACACTCATCCTCTACCAATATGACCATGGTCTCAAATAATCCCACTTGGTGGCCAGTCATCAATGCATATCGTCTTTCCAGCTATTTTACAGGTTCGTAGAGAGCAATCGTATTCTGAAGCTGGTGTCTCAATTTAACCTTGGCTGTGTAGTTGCTGCCTTTGTTATAGTGACGTATGATTGGGGTGAGCATGATGACATTAAAGGACTGCTGATATCTTACAAGTATTTTCAGCCGTTACATTTGGACAAGAGGTATGGCAATGTTGTGACTGGAGCAGCTATCTCGCTAAGAATGACTTTACAGGTTGAATTGGTTTGGGTGAGCAGAGACTCGTGTCAGAGGAACAATCATGAAAATACACTTAATTACAGAGGCAACGTTGGTCCCTAATGACAGTGCTATATCTCAGCGTATGTAGCTTGTTTGTCGTGGTTGCCATGTTGTATTGACTTGAAAGTATGCTAGGTGCGCTACCTTGGAATCTTATATGCTGCGTATGTTCGGATGCTAAACAATCGGTGTTGTGCTAATTGTTTCTCTCATAATCAGCCTGGCCATCCTGTGTATGTCTCCTTAGTATATTCAATGTCCTTGCTTCTTCTGACCAACGACATACAGGCGATGTTCCGACCATCTCGCTGACAGATACAGTGAGTCTTCTGCACAGATGCCTGCTATTCACCTTCAATTAACCGCAGTGCCCTGTAGCAGTGGGTTTGGTTTTTTACTACTAACTTCTTGGTTCGTTAATGACTACCGCACTATACTTCCACAGATGTAAGTCTTTGGAGTGTGTGCTATCCGAGGCCGATCACTGACTGGATTTGTCAGGCTGGATTGTGTCCGTCATATTGAATGTGACGGGTGTTATGGTATTCGCAATGCTTTGTGGTGAGCTTGGGACTTGTGAGATCTCAGTGATGCTGACTTGACTGAAACATGCTACAAGTCATCATGATCACCCGGTTGCATGCCATGTATCAACGATCCAGAAAGATCCTGATATTTCTCATTATTACCTTCCTGGCTGTGAACGTTTTCAGCGGAGTGGCAACTGTATTGTCAGCGATGGATACTTCGGGGGGTACGCTTAATCGTGGATGAAAATACACGTGCATGGGGCTCAATAAAATACCAGAGGAACTCAATCTCTCCGGCACCTATCAGTGCTCATTTATCTTTGTTCAAGATATGCGACTTCTGTCTTCCATTACTTGGATACTTGGCACTGTGTGGGAGTTCCTCGCACTATGTCTCGCAGTCTGGATTGCGGTAAAACACTTCCGTGAACTGCGACTACATTCGGCAGGAGGGATTATCGGGGACTGTTTCACGGTGTTGATGAGAACTCATATGGTTTACTTCGTGAGGTAAGCTCATTGTGGTTATTGTTCCTTTTTTCCACTGAAGGGTTGGACGTGGTAGCTTTGTTCCTGTTTCTTGCTTAGAGCTCATTATTTATTTCTCTCCAACACTCTCAATGGTACGTCAATCTTTCACTTACCTCTGTATGCTACCATGGTTTATCGTTTCTATAGTATTATTCCATGGACATTGTGCTTTACTCTGGGTTTCTTCAGATTTTAACAGTCATGCAGATTTTTGTGCTGGGACCACGCCTGATCCTTGGTGTTCGAGAATATCATGCCAAGCTCGTGGCCGATTCGGACGCAGCAACTGGTATGGCCTCAATCGCTTTCCAGGAGCGCGTGCATATATCGACTGGCAGCAGTGTGTAATTCTCGGTGAAGTTAATAACTGTCTGGTGCTCTACGAAGAGGAGGGGAATTTGCTTTTATTTAGTCTCACTTTTGTGATGGTATCGATCTAAATTATTTGTGTTCCAAAGTAGATTTCAAGGAGACATACAAAATTTTTGTCGTGGCATTGCATTTAGTCAAGTGATGTTCTGATAATGTCTCAATCAATGTTCTGGATATGACTACTCAGTACTGGCACTGACTGCCCATCCACACTTGCACCAACTACTGGTCTGTCTTTTCTCCGTGCGATGGCAATAATTCCTACGATTGCATCGGCGAATGGGCGTACGAGAGCCAAGTCGAGCGACAGCGCACTACTTCAGTCCCTCAGCAATCCGTCCTCGATTCATCATGCCTCTTGCCTCATTCAATATCCCACTCTTGTCTTCTCACCTGACTCACGCCAACTGGCTTACAGAAGATTTACTCAATGTATGTATGTAGAGCAGATCGTCTCGTCAGTCAAGTGCTGGGTACGATTGTAAGCTTCCAAAAGTCGATACTGGTGAGCATCCTCGTTTTCCATATGCTTTCGCGTTCCGACAGAATCCAGAACTTGAGATCATTTTGTTGTTTCTCTGCCGGTTTCTGGGCCTTCGTCGAAGGTTCAACTGACTTTACTCACATGTACTGAGGTTGGAGAGAAGGTCGTACCTTTGAGACGTATCGAGAAGCATTGGGGGCCTGTAGGTAAGTGTTTCTGTCGACTTAGTAGGCTAATTCGCTGCCTACTTGATGTTCGGAGCCAATTGATCTACATATGTATTTGACGAGAAAACGGAAGGAATACACTACTGATGATCATGAGTATACTCAGTAGGAGCGCAAAGAAATTGTAAGAAATGATAAAGAACATCTTTTAGAGACGAAGAAATAAACAGGGCAGATTAATGATAACCGTCAGTATACTCAGAAGAGGAACAGCACATGGAGAGCCAAAAACGAGTCCAGCATCCAGCGTGTCTGATGATGACATGAGGATTGGTATTTGGAGTTGTGTTAGTGACCACGAGAGGTGCGGTGACAGTGGAGACAGCAGCTTGTGCTTGAGACGCGCCATTAGAGTGTTGTGTGGTATTGCTATTGGGAGGAAGTGAGGCCCTCGCGGCAGAGTTCCCAGGTTTCAATGGAGGTATTTTCATCCGTCTTTCTCTTGCTGATGCATTCCTCTGCGTTGTATGAGATGAGGTTTGAATATTTGAGGAGACAAACAACATACACGTTTGCCCTTGGCATATGGAACATTGACTACTCCTGAGGCACGCTCGCAAAGCTCGATATCTTCACCGGTTGGTCTTCCGGAGAGACGAACCCAGTGGAAAGGGCGGGGTCGCGAAGACGTATCGTGGACATCGGTGTAGAATAAAGAGAAAAGTCGGTCCCGAAGTGTGCTTGGATGCGATGCGTGCTGAGAACATGCAAGTCAGGAAAAACAGTACTGAATTAAATGTTAAAGACGTACCTGCGCCCGATCTGGTAAGTCGTCAAAAAAACCATGAGGCACCCGGCGCTGGGGGACGATGATTGGCTGACGGACTGGACGTGGTGTAGCATCAGCCTAGAAGATAGGTTCAATTGCGATAGGATCTCAGCAAATAAGATTTGATCATAAAAAGTGTCACGTACAGCAAGGACCGGCTTGTCCAACAGAAGTTCGCTAAGGCCAGCTTCTTTTAGTATCCCAGAAACATCCCAAGTGTAGGCATTGTTATCGTCGCAGCCAGTGGCTAGTAGCTTTCCATCTACCGAAAATGACACAGAAAGCACGTGAGATGGATGTTGGAGGGGCGAACCGATGGGCTGGTTGTTGTCCAGGTTCCATAATCGTGCTGTCTTGTCCCAGGATGCACTTGCGAGGATGCGGCCATTCGGAGATATTGCAATGGAATCGACAGGATCAGTACTGTGCTCACCCAACACTGCGATCTGTTTCCAAGTTGTAGTACTCCATGTCCTAATCGAGGAATGGTATGACCCTGATATAAGTGTTTTTCCATCAGGAGTCCAAGCCAGGCACAACACCGAACCAGCTCTTTCAAGTGTTTTAAGAGTAGCGACAAGCTTGCCTATCTTAGCATCCCAAATTTTGAGACTGTCCAGAACCTGTTCGGAATCATCGGATCCGCCAGTTGCCAACATGGTCATGTCTGGCGAGTAGACGACTGCCCGCATGTGTTCGTGCCCTGTCTTGATTGGTGCGAGGTTAGTCTCTCTGCTCTCTACATCCCATTGTATTGCAGTCCCGTCGGAGGATCCGCTCAAGACTCGCTGACCGTCTCCACTCCAGCAGACAGAACTCACTGGCTTATTGCCCATCCATCTCACGACGACTTTGCCTGTGTCCATGTCCCACAACCTCACTCCGCCATCCATACTCCCGCTGACCGCTTTCTTCCCGTCCGGAGACATCGCTGTGGTCCATACCCCACTGTCTCCATCCCGCCAGTCGTCTCCTATCTGTTTCCCACTCTTCAAGTCCCATACCCGCAGCGAGCCGTCGAATGAACAGGTCATTATCTGTTGTCCGCCTGGTAGATGTATGACACTGTAGACAGAATGGGTATGTCCCTCAAATTTCTGGCGAGGCATTATCGATATTATCCTCGAGGTCTCCTGTCTCTCAACGAAGGGTGAAGACATCTAGGCGGAGCTCCGTTTCAGCTTTCAAATCTGGCAAAGACCAAAATCATCACTTACAACGATATGTTTCTCAGCAAGTCACGATGCGTTGATAACAAGACACAATAAGCCTTAGGCCAAAATTGCACTGAAGGTTTTGAGCGGGCACGTCCTCGTGTTCGCTTCACAGCTCCTAGGTGGGCACAGGGAAAATGCTGCGCCACTGCTGCGACTGTCTGCGGTATCTGCCGCGATGATCCAAATTTACGCTAAGCAGCAAATTGAAGACCGACAAGGACAACAGGGCTTGATCCAGTACATTTCATACATATGGGAGGGTAGCATATACGTACCGTGAGGACTGCATTGGCATACAAATCCGCGTTCACGGTTTGTCATGCGCCCTATGGAAATGCGCGAACCACTCCAATGAAAAGGATAGAAATGAACGGTGCAAATAGTATTTAGATTGGAGCACGGCATTGACTGCCGCTGCAACAACTTTCAGCATCACTAGAAAACAGTTCGCATCACCCGCTCTGACGAGGTCCTTAAGAGTGTTGAATTGGATTTCGATCGGATGTGGGTACTGCTTTCGGCCCCGGTGTTGCAGATCCGCGGAGTCTAAAAAAACCACCAAGCGTACGACTCGGGACGCATTAAAAAGACTGTTGATTTGACGGCATCAATATCTGCTATGCCTTCAGATCTGTCACGGTTGACGCTGATATCTACCAGTGACGAATATCAACATATGTGTCAGTGAGACGTGGATGCCTTTTGCTCGTTCTCGCTTCGAAGGTGCTCGTTACATCCAACTTGAAGCCTCCAATGTTCTGGTATGCCTGGGACAGGATAACACTTATTTTCACGCGCTCACTTTAGATGACACCTGTGTTCCAAACGCAACTCAGTCAGAATTACAAGCAACCACCCCTTCACAGTGGGAAGCTTGCTGGAAGTTAACGTTGATATGTATCATGCGCCTTATGGTGTGCGTATACTAATTTCGTGTTCCATGTGGCCGGTGTGGTGGAGGTGAGTTGCTCGAGAGAGCATCGCACTCTTTAGATGCTACTTGAAAGCTTACGAGGACATCCCAAAGATTGATATGGATATCACGAATGAAATGAAAACAGGTGCGCAAGCAGCTTGCGTTTGTCCATGGAACCGTGCAAGCCTGTTTCCAGCAAGATTGTCTCCCTGTACGCCGAAAACAATCACTTGCAGTTTGCAGTTCCGGAAGGATTGATTGGTAAGATTGACCCTACTACGCTATGCAGAGCGGACCGTCTCATCGATCAAGTGCTGGGTGCGATTGTAACCTTCCAAAAGTCTACTGGTGAGCATCCTCGTTTTCGATATCCTTTCACATTCTGACAGAACCTAGAGCTTGAAATCATCTTGTTCCTTCTCTGCCGTTTGCTGGGCATTTGTCGAAGGTTCACCCGACTTCACTTACGTGTGCTGAGGTTGGAGAGGAGGTCGCGCTTTCGAGAAGCATCGAGAAGTATCGAGGGCTTGTAGGCAAATGTTTCTATCGACTTAGTAGACTGATTCGCTACCTACTTGATGTTCGGAGCCAATTGATCTACATATGTATTTGAAGAGAAAACGGAAGGAATACACTACTGATGATCATGGGTATACTCAGTAGAAGCGCAACGAAATTGTAAGAAATGACAAAGGACATCTTTTAGAGACGAATAAATAAACAGGGCAGATTAATGATGACCATCAGTATACTCAGAAGAGGAACAGCATATAGAGACCCAAAAACGAGTCCAGCGTCCAGCGTGTCTGATTATGATATGAGGATTGGTGTTTGAAGTTGTGTTAGTGACGACGGGAGGTGCAGTGGCAGCAGCCGGTGCTTGCGAAGACTGGGCTTGAGCTTGAGATGTGCCATTACAATGTTGTGTGGTATTGCTATTGGAACCATGGGGCACCTGGCGCTGGGGGACGATGATTGGCTGACGGACTGGACATGATGTAGTAGCATCAGCCTAGTAGAAGGAATAGGTTCAATTGCGATAGGATAGGACCTGATGACACACAGCAAGAACCAACTTGTCCAACAGAAGTTCACTAAGGCCAGCTTCTTTTAGTATCCCAGAAATGTCCCATATATACGCATTATGGTCGAAGCAGCCAGTAGCTAGCAGCTTTCCATCTGCCAAAAATGACACAGATTGCAAGTAGTGCCAATGTAGAACCTGGACTCGGAGGGGCGGACCGACAGGCAGGTTGTTGTCCAGGTTCCATAATCTCGTTGTGCTGTCATGTGATACACTTGCGAGGATGCGGCCATTCGGAGATATTGCAATGGATGTGATAGCAGAAGTGTGCCCATGCAACACTGCGATCTGTTTCCAAGTTGTGGTGCTGCATGTCCTAATCGAAGAATTGTATGACCCGGATATAAGGGGCCTTAGGATTTTGCCGCATCACTGCCGCATCCGTGCCGCACCCTACACAACAAGAGCTAGTTCGGTAACCCAAGGTAAAGTAAATTTGCCAACTTCAAGGATGATGTAAGGTCGGCACAGTAGCTTCCGGTTTGGAGACCGACATCGGAGCTTGAACTTCCTTTGATCCCATGTCTAGCTATCACACACCCCAGCATACGACTCAAGATCTATGCAATCGGAACAACATCTGGGCTAGTGTCATATCGATAGTGTTATCAGCTCAAGTCCACATCCTCTCCATGGCTCAGGAGTCATCTCATACTACTACAGAGAGGGCTGTTTGGACCGACACAGAGGTTGATCAGTTTCTCCTCTACCTATCCAACAATCGGGACAAGATCGGTGATGCTGGCAACTTCAAAGATGTGACGTACAATGGCGCTGCAGAGGCTATTGCTGAGTACCTGGAGCATGGTCCAGCGAAGAGTGGGGCAATGTGTAAGACAAAATGGGCGTCAGTAAGTCCTATCAATATATAATTTATTTATAGACTTGATAATAGATTGTGTAGTTAAAGCAGACTTTCAATGCTATTCAGAAGTATCGCCAGCAGTCTGGTGTCCACTGGGACAATATTAGAGGGGCAAATGTCGAGGGTGAGGCTTCAACCTCAGTATGGAATGAATATGTTTCCAAGAAGGTACGTCAAGTTCACTAATGCTATTTCATGCGTCTCACTGTTTGATAATAGGGAAATTCAGTCATGCGCCCTTTTCGTGCATCGGGATGGAGACACTACGAGCAAATGGACGGCATAATACCACGAGGCAGTGGCGCCCGAGGGCGCACAGGGTACCAACCCAATATAGCTCTCCCCCCTCCCTTAAGCTCAAGCTCCAGTCCTAGCGTACCCGCAGGTGAACACAATACCATGATTGGTCCCATTATTGCCACATCTAGTGCTGGTGTTGCTGGTCCTAGCACCGCCCCTGCAGCAGCTGCCCTCACTTCTACACCTGCTTCTCCATCCTTCATGCCTCCTCCTACTTCTCCGTCCTTCATGCCTCCTCCTGCTTCTCCGTCCTTCATGCCTCCTCCTGGCAAACGTTCTCACACCGACATGGAGCTGACCGCCTCATCTGCATCTACCTCAGTTTCTCAAATGCAAATGCCGCCTCCCTCCGAGTCGAGCTCTATCAAAAGAGCGAAGACAGTATCAGGCCGCGCATCAGGCCGTGGATCAGGAGGCCATGCACAGACTCAGGGCGGTTCCACCAAGAACACTAACACGTTGGACACCAAGATATCGAAGGCCACCACAGCTGTAGCCGTGATGGGATTCCAGAGCTCTGTCAATCGCTTGACAGATGTAATTGCTGAGCGCATGGTCTATCCTGAGGATCGGGTAATGGACCAGCGCTCGAGGGCCATGCAGATGTTGCAGGTTGAGGATGCAGAGTTGCCGTTCGCAGAGCGGCTTATAATACAACAGGTTTTTTCTATGGACCCTGCAGCTACTGACATATACACACAGACTGCTGACAAGGAGATGCGCCGTGCTTTTATTCTTTCCACAGCCCAGCGGTTGGGACTTCAACTTCCTGCGCCTGGTAGTTAGTATACTCATGTAAAATGCGCTATTGACACAACATATGATGATAATGCAGTAGTTGAAGCATGGTAATGCAAACATCTTGTGCTTTGATGGCGGCGGATACATGAGAGTCGTGCTACAGTGCTACATATCATTGTCAGAATCTTCAAAGGAGTCATCTAGCAGGCCCCGCTGCTGCAAAACAGTCTGATAATCTTCCCACATGCAGCGCGCAATACGATTGCGCACTTCCTTCATGCCTCCCGCTCCGTCAAACTCCTCCTCATCATCGGGGATCCCTTGGTGCTCCGGGTTGTCGTAATCGAAGTGTTCATTGTCGTCGTCCGGGAGCACGTTGTCGTCAGGGTTGTGAGTCGATATGAAATTGTGAATCACGCATAGCGCAGCAGGTATACGTGCCTGGATGGTCATAGGATATTCAGGTGAGAGCAACAGAATACGAAAACGGCGTTTTAACACGCCAAAGATCCGCTCAATCACATTTCGAGCGGATGAGTGTCGCAGATTGAAGAGCTCTTCTTTGGTTGTTGGTCTGCAAACATAGAATAGTTATTAAAAAACCTAAAATATAAAATAAATAAAACATACCTAAGATTAGCACGTCCCCATTCAGCCAAATGATAACGGACACTGCGGTAGGGGACTAAGAGCTCGTCACACAAAGGGAATCCCGCATCCGCTAAGAAATATTTGCCGGGAGGGATATACAAACTGCCTGAACGAGCCTCGTCATAGAGGCGTGCGTCTGTGGCGGATCCCTCCCAGCCAGTGAGAGCGTAGGAGAATTTGAGGTTGAAGGTGCAGGCGAATAGACAGTTTTGAGAAATAAAACCTTTGCGATTACGATACGAGGGGCGATCAGATGATGAGGGGCGAGCATGGATGTGGCTGCCGTCGATCGCACCGATAGCGTCCTTGAAGTAAGGCCAGAATTTTGGATTGTTACGGATGTTGCTGGAGATGTCATCGGTGTCGTTGGGAGAACATACGTATGTTGTGTAGAACGGGGGGGACGCAAAGATAAACAAGATCTTCCGGAAATACCTGGAATTATTTGTGAGCTCATCATAAATAACATTAAAAACAAACTTACTTTGAGATGGTGTCGTTTGACCGTTGAAAACGCTCCCCGACATGACGGATCGTTAGCCCTGTAACGCACGTATATAGAAAGATGGCAAGTTGCTCTTCGAGCGAAACGTGGCGTGAGCTAGCATAACCCAAAACACGAAGTTCGGCTATGAGCGCGTGAAAGACATCTGCATGCATGCCAAGTTCGCATCGCATACGATCCGGGTGACCAGTGATGAGTTCCATGACCCATTCTTCACCTGAGAGGGCCGATGTGTGGTATGCCTCAGGTACAGAGTCCTGAAGCAATGAGTGCGTAGCAGTCAGAAGGACACTGACGAGTAGTGCAATGTGACGTAGGATTCGCATATGATTCTGCCGACGGCCTGCAGCTGGCGGCTGAACAGCCTGGGCTTGAGCGAGTTGTTGGAGCAAGGGGTCAATGGTATCCATAATCTATCCCTAAAGCAATGAGCGCGATGGATAACAAGTCCTACTAATATTGATATCATAAGGTTGAAACTCAGCTATCGGCACCTACTGTGCCGGCCTTACATCATCCTTGAAGTTGGCAAATTTACTTTACCTTGGGTTACCGAACTAGCTCCAAGTGTCTTATATGCGTATATAATATGTCTACGTCGTCCACAAAGGTCTTAAATATAATTTATGATTAAGAAATACCATAGTACATGTTTTTGTGTAAGAATTATCGTGGTATCATAGTGAATATAGTACTTTATGGGTGCGGTAGTGACGCGGTAGGGTGCGGCAGGGTGCGGCAATTCTGAGATTTTGTGGCTGTGGGATGCGGAGGGTTTTTCACGCAGATTCCCCTCTAGGTTTTCTAGGCAATTCTGAGATTTGGTGGCTATGCACTACCGCCGCACCGCACCAACGCATCCTTCTTACCAAGTATACCGCGACTGCCGTAGATGCTCCTCCCGAGTTCGATGAGTGGGCTCTCAGTGGTCTAACCAAGGAGAAATATGTACGTGTGCACCCTCATCATATGATATATGGACTAACAATCATGCATCTCCCACACGAATTGATAGATATCATGCATCCAGTCATAGGCGAGCACAACAGCATGCTCATCCTCGCGCACATCAAATACTTCCATTCACCTTCCTTGGCCGTGGCCGTGGCCGCGGTTTGGGCTTTTTGGTATGTTTCTCTTTCTTAACAACTTCGGGCTCACTTCCTTCGCTAAAGTTCGGCCCACACTGTTGGTTGGCAGTGTTTTAATGCAACCTTCCACTGCAAATATGAAAATGACGCACATCCAGTTCTCCTTCAAATTCTGGTGCATACGGATCTCGGTCACCATGATTCCAGTGCTCGGGGAGACCCTCATATGGATTCCAACGGTCTTGGTGCGTGCCAGCGTCTTTTCCCCATTGTTCATTCCCTGCAGCACCTGCGGCCAACGAGAGTTCGAACATTCGCTGTTCGAGTATGCCAAGGCACTCCAGATCAACATCGACATCCATCGCAGACGGATCATAGCTAAGTTGGAGGTCAAGCCAGGCCGCCTGGAGTATCGCATTTGCTTCCTCTTCGGGAGTAGGAACTGACTTGGAGTCCACGTCAAGTGCTGCTGAGCGACGTTCAGTCAAAATATGTTCGGCCATCTCCTGGAGTCGATTCTTCTTCCGTTTTGCGATTACAATAGTGCACGCATGCGCATAGGTAGCACAGTTTAGCCAATTAACAATTTGTTTTGATGCACCAGGGATGCGATGGTAGACCCAGTTCGCAATCTGAGCACAGTCTGTAAGAGACAGATCACCACAATATGGCACAGTAGTCTGCTTGCGACCCGTTTTCTCTGATAGGTCGGCAAGATACCCAAGCACTGGGACTGCGTTGCGCATCTTCACAGGATCAGGTTGCTCCAAAATATTCGTGAGGAGTTGACTGTGAGGAGCCAATGCTTCGTCGATATTAACACTGTAGGGAATGTGTCTAAAGTTCGCGATGACGTCTTCGTGCTGGGGAACCTCGTGCGCATGTGTCCATCTGCCAAGCTGTGATTTGGATGTCAAACGGTCTGCTATTGAATCTCAAGAGGTTTACACACCCGAATCATTCGGCGACGTTTATGATCTCCATAGAGCGCATCAACTAAGTCTGCCTCACCAACTTCAAGTGGAGGTTGAGTGCCGGGTTTAAAAAAACAATGCCTCCACCATTTGACTGTATACAATGCCTTTCCTCCAACCTGTCGACACGACTTGATCCTGACAGGGTACCAGTATTTTCCGTGGCGTGCTAATGCTCCCTTTCCTGGTCTGTACGCAGTAAATGAGTTCATGCTATCACTTGCACATCCTCATCAGTGAGGATTACATTTTGCCGTTCGTACTCTTGAGTCATTGTTTCAAATAGTGCTCGGAAATGATGGCGGTAGTGTGCTTCAGTACCACCATTTGACCACGTCATCACACCTGGCACCCAGCATTGGAGAGTATCACTGAAGACGGAGCTGATAATCAAGAGATCGTTGCGCTCAGCCCAAAATCCATGGGCAGCATCAGATATGATACCATTACTGTGATTCTTGACAAGAAACGACAACATGATGGGCGACTGTGTGATGACAACTGCGACTGGCTCGAAGGTGTGGTAAATCACGAAATCCGGATGCTGGCGTTGAAACTCTGTGAAACCTGCAATAATATCCTTCCCTCGGCTCTTAGTGAATACCTTTTTCCTCTCGTGATTCACCCTGGCCGTGTTCAGAAGCACCGGAGATATGGTTGCAACTGACTCCTGCGGTCCATTGATGCCCGGGCGGCCCATCACAAGCTTCGTCGCACCCATGCGGGGGTGCTCCTCAATGATTTGCCGGAAGTGAGATGATTCCATTTTCGTCAGATGCAGTCGTCGTGGTGGGCGAATGTGGTGGTGAAAGCCTCGATGAACGAAGCACACACCCTCTGAAAATTTGAAAAGATCATAAATAATACCACAATCAGTATGGACGAGCATGGCACCACAAGAGCATGATGCCTCAAGCTGTTTGGCAATGAGTTTCTTGGTCGTAGTAGGACGGACGACAATGGCACACGATCCACCCTTGGATTCATGGTTGGCGCATACAATGACGCCATTGCAGCGTCGACGAGTACGCACACCTTCCTGCCATTCTAAGGCATCAAGCGAGCCTCTATGTTGCTTTCGAGGTGCACCTAGACCCTCGCAAGCCCAGTGGACATGGAAGTCATTGACCTCAGGTCGTTTGGCATCTTCGCGTGAGTAAATTCGTGTGATGGGGCCATCAGGCCAGACGTCCCATTCGATATCGCCACTAGTAGGTGCCTGGGTCTGTGTTTTAAGTGCGTGTGGTTGGTGGACAGCAGAGGCGCGTGCAGTTGAATCAGTCGAGTCAATACCTTGGATGGATTAATCACAGCTCCAGCCTTGAACGTGCCGAAAAGTTGGTACTTACTAGTAGCAGGTGACTTTTGTAGGTTTTGTCTAGGTGGCTCGTCAATCGTGCGCGTAGTTGAACTGCTGACCTGAGCAGGGATTGGCCAAATTTTATGAGGCTGATCTTGCACAGGTTGTGGAGGCGCTGGCGGGTGTTGCAAAGGTGGAGTAGGGTGAACATCTAGGATATATTGCTGCGAGGCAGGCTGTGAAGTCACTGGTGGGTGTTGCAGGGGTGGTGTAGTGTGAACACCCGAGGTATAGTGCTGTGAGTGATGTTCTGATTCAAAGACACGGACAGAAACTGGAGGTACCGAGTCAAGGCTTGGCGCAGTGAAAGAGAAAGGCCAAAAAATACTCACCATCGACACGGAAATGTTCATTGGGTGTAGCAGTGCGAGGTTGCGTAGTCACAGTTTCTGTGTGACTGAAACCTGAGACCGGAGAACGTCAGGACGCCAGCCTCTGAGTGGTTATTAGGTCACTTACTTTTCTTGACCTGAGAGGGGCTATGGGACACTCCCGCAGTATCAAGCTGCGAGGCGTCACACTTGCATGGACTCCTGGGCTGAAATAAGTTACTGATAAAGCTCTGGCAGGTGTTATCATGATGCAATCGGCACAATTCAAGAATTAAACTTGACATCAACATACCGGAATCATTCTCATTCAGGCGAGCATGGAGTTAGAAGCAGGATGGGACAACGAGCGTGATATTATGAGCATAAGAAGGGACATGGTATCAAAAAAATATGCTAGCCCAATATTAGTGGCTGTGCCGCATAGTGTGTTGCGACATGCGTCTGACTCGCAGGTCTGAGTTGTATATAACAGATTGTAACTAGCTGCCTGTCGAGAGTGACAGGTCATTGTAATGTGGGTGCTCTAGAATCTGTATAGTCTGAATGTCATCGTCTCGCACTATATATTACTAGGACTCACTGCTGCCGCACCCACTACCGCATCTGTGCCGCAACACGTCCAACACATCCTCTAAATTCAACCTCTCAAAGGCATGTCCAAGAGGCGCATAGTTGATGAATTCGACGAGGAATGCTGCTAGGTCAATTGGCTTGTGTATGATTAGAGTAGTTGTCGGAAATGAGCGTTGAATGTTGGTTTCGGTGTGATGCGTTAGTGGTGCGGCAAGTTGCGGCAGTGATGCGCTGAGCCCGGATATAAGTGTTTTTCCATCTGGAGTCCAAGCCAGGCACCACAGCACATCAGCTGTTTCAAAAGTGGCGACAAACTTGCATGTCTTGACATCCCAAATTTTGGCATGACGCTGTCCGAGTCCGCTAGTTGCAAACATGCTCATGTCTGGCGAGTAGACGACTGCCAACACGTATTCGTGCCCTGTCTTGATGGGTGCGAGGTTTGCCTCTCCGCTCTCTAGTACATCCCATTGTCTTGCAGTCCCATCTTCAGATCCGCTCAAGACTCGCTGACTATCTCCACTCCAGCAAACAGTTCTCACTCTCTTTGTATGCCCCATCCATGTCACGATGACTTTGCCTGTGTCCATATCCCACAACCTCACTCCGCCATCCTCACTCCCGCTGACCACTCTCTTCCCATCCGGAGACAACGCTATGGTGTACACTGGACCGTCACCGTCCCGCCAGTCGTCTCCTATCTGTTTCCCACTCTTCAAGTCCCATACCCGCAGCGAGCCGTCCCTTGAACAAGTCATTATCCGTTGTCCGCCCGCTAGATGTATGGCACCCCAGACATCTTTGGTATGTCCCTCAAATTTCTGACGAAGCATTGTGCTCGAGGTCTCCTGTCTTTCAACGATAGCTGAAGACATCTAGACGGAGCTTCGTTTCAGCCTTCATCCCACAAAGTTTAGAATCACCACTTACAACGATATGTCCCTCAGCAGGTCACGACGTGTTGACAGCAAGACATAACGAGCGTCAGTGCACTGGAAGTTTAAACTGCGACGTCCTCGTGTTCGCCTCACACCTTCTAGCAGGCTGTGCAACTCAAGCGCCCAAGCCTCGTTTCTGATCAACCTCGCCGTCCTAACTCCCATGTTCATTGTCGGTCCATACACCAAATTGCGCCTCACTACCTTTGCTGTGTCTTGCAGATGATACTGTCCTCCCGTATTCTTTTCGATCTCGTCATGGACGCTGCTCTACTAATCGCAGTAACCGAAACATACTACCCTCGGCCACAGATACCGGAGTATTTGGCCATGGTTGAATGAAGCTGGAAAGCATCAATATTTCTCAGAACAAGGTCGACTTGATCAAGCTCTTGAGCAACAAACGCAATTGCTGCATTCATTAAGGGTGAGTCTTTTGTAGCATGGATCATCCATTGTTATATCAATTCTCCTAACAGGCACGGTGGCCCAGCCGTCGCTCAGCGTCCCGGTACGCAACTGGAATACAACATCGACGCTATCAACGAAATCATTGCAAAGCGTCTACCTATCCCAGTCCACGACTTTGCTTTCGATCCTGGTTTCATCCGTTCCTTCGATGTCAACAAGCCTAGTGCTGAGGTCCACGAACTCAGAGGTGGTGTTGCTAGTGGTTCTATCCTCACGGGCCAGGGCAACAAGTCAAGTTTTGTCCGGTGATCGTAACGAAACGCACTCAGGGCCGGAACCGTGCAAGCACGTTTCCAGCAGGATCGTCTTTCTGCACGCTGAAAACAATTGCTTGCAGTTTGGTCTTCACGCCTCTCGCTTCACATCATCTTTACACGCGTCATTTTCACCATGGTGCTCTCGTTCTCACCGCATTTGTTGTAGATGGCACGATTACGTTGTTGTAGAGTGAACGCAATGAAATATATATTTCGTCCCACTCTGTTTTCTCAGGTTTTTAGTCCACTTTGAATGTGCTCGATGCAACGGGAACTTGAACGACCACAGATGACCGCAACAACGATATCTGTCAGTTCAGCTTCTTCCACTACTAGTATGAGGAAGCACCAATGCTATACACTTCAACACAGTCCAGTAAGATCGGCAATGCTGCCTTGTCCGACATTACATGCTCTCAAAAGCCTATAATCATAGCAATCATGAGAGGCACGCAGTCAGCTCTGCAATAAGTCATTCGCTCGGACAACCCTGGACTTGGACTGCATATTGAGTATCATAGTGTAGAATAGAATACAACGTATGATACACTGTACACTCGGCGCTTTCACATCTAAATTTTATCTGGAATGTCCTTGATGGATCCACTACTTCGGTCATCGTCGATACTAAGGTCTACAAGTGCTGATGTTAGTAAGTGCGACAACCGGAAAGGACTGTGAAGAGACTCACCCCTCTCGACACTTCTGCCAATGTTGTCCATGTGCCATGAGGCTCAAATCAAGCTCAGGACCTCCTCTAGGTATCACCAATGCAGTCTGAGGGTTATAAAATGGGTGGCGAGAAGCGGGTGGCACCCAGAATAAGAGCCGATGTTTGGGCCCAATCATCCACCCACTGGGACGATCCAGTAAAAAGCGGGTCGAGCTGCGGCCATCAAGGGATGCTCCCTCCATTAGCTCAGAAGTGTTGCGCAGCGCATGGATGGAGCTGGGCGAGAAGCAAATGAAGTGATTGTTCCAAGTGTTAAATGTCATGGTAGTGGTAGCCTCGATATCGCAATGTTCATTTGACAATGATGTATGATCTGACTCGGTGCACTGTCCTGATTGCTGCATCCTCCTGGCATCCCACAGCCGAACAATATTATCCTCTGAAGCACTGATGATGCGAGTGCTGTCCGGCGAGAACGAGACTGAGGAAACTGTATCAGTGTGCCCCCGCAAGGGCTCGTCGACTGGCTGACCCGTTGCAGCATTCCACAGCCGAACGGTGTGATCCCAAGAACCACTGACGATGCAAGTGCCATCTGGCGAGAACGAGACTGAGGAAACTGTATTAGTGTGCCCCCGCAAGGGCTCGCCGACTGGCTGACCCGTTGCAGCATTCCACAGCCGAACAGTGTGATCCCAAGAACCACTGACGATGCAAGTGCCGTCTGGCGAGAACGAGACTGAGGAAACATCACTAGTGTGCCCCCACAAGGGCTCACCAACTGGCTGACCCGTTGCAGCATCCCACAGCCTAATAGTCCTATCCCCTGAACCGCTGACGATGCGAGTGCCATCTGGCGAGAACGAGACCGAGAGAACATAACCAATGTGCCCCCGCAAGGGCTCACCGACTGGCTGACCGGTCTCAGCATTCCACAGCCGAACGGTGTTATCTCTTGAACCACTGACAATGCGAGTGCCGTCCAGTGAGAACGAGACCGAGCGAACATAACCAGTATGCCCCCGCAAGGGCTCACCGACTGGCTGACCCGTCGCAGCATCCCACAGCCTAATAGTCCCATCCCCTGAACCACTGACGATGCGAGTGCCACCCGGCGAGAATGAGACTGAGCGAACATAATCAGTGTGCCCCCGCAAGGGTTCACCGATCGGCTGACCAGTCACAGCATCCCACAGCCGAACAGTGTGATCCTGTGAACCACTGACAATGCGAGTGCCGTCCGGTGAGAATGAAATCGAGTAAACTGAGTTAGTGTACCCCTGCAAGGGCTCATGGATTGGCTGACCCGTCGCAGCATCATGCAGCCAAACTGTCCTATCTATTGAAGCACTGACCATGCGAGTGCCGTCTGGCGAGAACGAGACCGAGGAAACCATATCAGTGTGCCCCCGCAAGGGCTCACCAACTGGCAGACCTGTCACAGCATCCCACAGCCGAACGGTGTGATCCCAAGAACCACTGATGATGCGAGCGCTGTCCGGCGAGAACGAGGCCGAGGAAATTAAGTTAGTGTGCCCCCGCAAGGGCTCACCAACTGGCTGACCTGTTGCAGCATCCCACAGCCTGATAGTCCTATCCCCTGAACCACTGACGATGCGAGTGCCGTCCGGCGAGAATGAGACTGAGAAAACTGAGTTTGTGTGCCCTCGCAAGGGCTCGCCGACTGGCTGACCCGTTGCAGCATTCCACAGCCGAACAGTGTGATCCCGAGAACCACTGACGACGCGAGTGCCGTCCGGCGAGAATGAGACTGAGGAAACTGTATCAGTGTGCCCCTGCAAGGGCTCGCCGACTGGCTGACCCGTCGCAGCATCCCACAGCCAAACTGTGTTATCCTGTGAACCACTGACAATGCGAGTGCCGTCCGGCGAGAACGAGACCGAGGAAACATAAGCAGTGTGCCCCCGCAAGGGCTCACCGACTGGCTGACCCGTTGCAGCATCCCACAGCCGAACTGTCTTATCCCTTGAACCACTGACGATGTGAGTGCCGTCCGGCGAGAACGAGACTGAAGAAACTGTATCAGTGTGCCCCTGCAAGGGCTCACCAACTGGCTGACCTGTCGCAGCATCCCACAGCCGAACGGTGTTATCCCAAGAACCACTGACGATGCGAGCGCTGTCCGGCGAGAACGAGGCCGAGGAAACTGGATGAGAGTGCCCACTGAGCACCATCTGAAGAGCCCACCAATTCATATCACGTCCAGATGCTACACGAAGAACGTTGGGATATTGCGCAGAAAGCATTCTCGATAGCGGAGAGTTGGCAGGCAAGAATGGGAGTGCCGATACATACAGATGCGGTGTGCTGTGTAAGATCATGCTGCCGAAGACTTGAATGAATCTCTGGACATCCGTTGCAGTCGACGAGACATCTTTGAATTCCGAATGTCCCTGGTGTTGCACGTCAGCATTTTATCTGACAATCTGTAGCAATGTACTCACCCTTAGCCACTGATGAATGAGCAAAAGGGCACGAACTGCACCACTAAGAGCACTGATCAGGGCGAGTGACTCGAGCCAGAAAAACACCCGCTCGTGGCCGAAGAACAATTTTACTTCTTTCGCAAGCTCCTTGTCGAACGCTGTGGTTCGTACGTGCAACGTCCAGAATCGAGAGGAGTATGACAGATCTGGGGGAATGCAGTCTTTGATTCGTTCTTGCAGTCCGGGATCTTCACTATTAGGCAGATACGACGACTTTAAATTGCAGATATTGAAGCGCAGGCCGTGTTCCAGCACTCGAAGCGACGCGAATGCAAGGTTATGTTGAGCCTTTGACAGGTCGATGAAAAACTCTCCACTGGATTGTTCGTCAGTCAAGAAATCGCGGAAAGATGCGTGAATGGGTCGGATTGGGGAATCTGGATTGGTGGTACCGCTGAGGAGGGAGCCCATGCTTTTTACAACAACTTCCACATCGAAATCATCCTCTCGGGTTGGAAAATAGCGCCTCATGGCGTTCAGGGAAGCTAAAGGAAGGGGTTCCATTGTGGCTAGTATTTGTCCCATCACCGAGCGGAATCTCGCTAGCGCTGTTGAGCGCGATTTCTGTGAATGCTGGACGGGCATGGCTTTCGTTAAAATAAGGTCGTACATGTTGTGCAACAGCATGCTTCTCTCAGTAGGATCGCGTGACACCACAGCGTTGTAGCAATCATTTGGAGATAGTCCTACGTGGGGCTCTTTGATGTACTCGCAGGCAAGACGCGCCCACTCGAAAAGTCCGTCAGCTTTCTCAGCGAGGATCCCGAACTCTCTGTCCTGGAACTCTAGCTCCTCCAGTTCCTTGGATACGTAAGCATGGATGTCGCGCTTTGCGGCTGCTATTGAAATGTCATCCATGGACATCTGTCGAATATGCTCAATGCCACGAAACTCGTCTTTGATGTCACCGAGCGGCCGAGAGGTGACGATGAAGCGTAAGTTGTGTGGGAGGTCTGTGATTTTGGAAACGCCGGGGCTTTGATGTTTGCCAGCTAGAATGCGGAGGAGGTCTCTTCGCGTCTCTGCTCCGCCGCTCTCGTCCAGCGCATCGATCATAATCACGATGGGTCCCGCAGTTGACCCAGATGACTTCCCTAGCGGTTCAATAAAAAGCTTCTGCCACTGCTGTGTGATATCCGCTGTGTTCTTCAGCGAATTCGAGGTCTGGACTGCATCTGCTAATGCCCGCCTCATCTCCGGGTCACGGTCAGCCAGGTCTCGCGCGATCGTGGAAAATATCTTTTCGTGGCGACGGTCCGCTTCTCGCTGATGGTCAAAAGAGTAGCACGAACCGAGCCCTCCCACGTCGTTGAACCACTTAGCGATGGTATGGCCTATGGCCGACTTTCCCTTGCCTGCAGGGCCGGATAACCACAGCACGCGTGGAACGTCGTCCCCAGTGCTGTTGACCCATTCCGTAATTTGGGAAAGGATTTCTGTGCGCGTCCCTTGGAGGCATTGTTTCCTGGTATCTAGGCCTGCGCCAGCTGCATAAGTCATACCACTGAGATCTAGTATTTCCCCTGAAAAGGTATAAATATATGTCAGATCACAAGCACGTCCGAGCGCTCACCCGTACGGTGGACGTATATAGCCACGTCGTGAGCCACTTGGTCCCGGAAATTTTGCATGAGCTTATCCAACACATCGTTGTACTGCTGGATCGTATTTTTCGTTTCTGAAACGACGTTTTTTCTGAGTCTCTTCCCTGTGATAACGGCAGATATTTGAGACACTGCAAAGCGTAACAGTTCGTTGAGACTCACAAAAGTTCTTGGTGTCCGAATAATTTTTAATAAATTGAGCATATTCAAGGGTCTGTCGAGATATCTGTCCCAGGATAACGTGCATGGACGAGATTTGGCCAAGCATTTGTTCTTGTGTGATAAAGCTGTAGACTTCATGCAACTTTTCGAGAAGTTTGAGTATCGCTACATCGCGATCCGCTTGAGCTAGAATTATCTGCACGCACGGTTGATGAGTGGCAAGAAATAGGCCGAGAGAGAAAGAAAACGTACTTTTGCTGCACAAGACAGCACGCCCAGTGCCATCTTTGCATATGGATGTATCTGTGGAACGGCATTAGTTCGGTTCTGATAGAGAAGGGGGGCCATACATCCGAGATCTCTCCGACAACAGCGTCGAATATCCTGAGCGGTTGAAGATATGTGTCCTCGAACTTGTCTGCGATATGGAGATCCTCTTGTGCATCCTTGCCAGCAGACGCCACAGTTTTCGCATGCCGTGAAAGTGAATGCATATGCTCCGTAGCACCTTGTGCATCCCGAATTGCTGATGGGATATCAGCCTCCACTCCTGCATCAGACGGAGCAGCCTGAGCCTGCGCGACCACCGAGACTAAGAGCAAGCACAGAAACTAAAGGATAAGTATGGGAACCCACCTCGATATTCTGGGTCGATGAAGCACGCTCCTCACGACAGGCATTTGGGGGAGCAGGGCTATGGCTGCGGGAATCCTTCGAGCGCTTGTTGCAATGTTAGTCATATCCCAGGACACTCATTACACATGCTCGTAGACTCACCCTCTTTAACTTTTTCGCATCCTCCTTGAGCTTCTTCAGGAACCGACCGATTTTACTACGGGGTCGATGCTAGACGAAGGATGCGTGAATGTCAGTGTTTGGAGTGGAGTGATGTGATCCTCTTAAGCCACGTACAGAGCTTCCGGGAGCTGTTACTTGACTAGGTGTGTGGGTTTCTCGAGTTGAAACCCTCGATGAATGATCGTCTTTGCTCATTGTTGGTGGTTGAGGCAAAGTAAGGGTCGGACCTGAGTCCGACACCATTGCCAAAGTTATCGCACGCCTCCCTCGAGGCAGTGTTGCGAGCGCTAAAGGACAGTAAGCACCCGGATTTCGACCGCATCTGAATCTCTCTGCGGCATGCGCGTTGAATCTGATAGGCTGTGGACCCAGCTTATATGTGCACACGCCGGTGCAGGTCGAGTAAAATGGATGATTGTGACGAAGTTTAAACTCTATTAGCCAGACTTGAGATCGTGAGATTTTACTTCGAATGCGAGCCTCAGCTTTTCCATGGCTAAAATCAGGTTTGATCTATATGACTCGGAAGAGTATCCGAGCTTCAAGCTCCAAGGGAGAGCAGGAGTGGATAAGTGACATGCAAAGCCTCCGAAGCCGTACTGTCACGCTCACGTCAAGAGGATTTACAAATAACATCATGGTACGTGTTCGAATTCACTCAACCGGGAAGTACGAGCTTGAGAAGGTAAGCGACACTAGGTAAACCAATCGACGTCATGGTTGTTGCAACGACAAGCTGTAAAGTCTTAGTTCAACCGGTACCTGACCACGTGACCTAATATTTTACTACTAGTAACACTTGCTACTACTGTAACTTAGACCAGGTCCATAACACACCTGTACCATAGTGCTACCCGCAAGGGACAATCGACACCACATAACCATGTCAGACTGGGGTAAAAACAAGAATTCGTTCAATCATATCTCCTACAACGCTCACCACGATCAAGCACAGAATCCGATGATGCTCCTGCCCCTGCTGCGGCATCGATCGCGACCAAGATAGCCGTGAAGAGTAAATGGGAGGGTGAAGACGAAGAGGAATCATCTCCAGTCGTACGTCGTTACCATCTCCTCCCTTATTCATCTCACCGATCTTACCAGAGCGATTGGGACGCATCCTCGGATGAATCCTCAGACGACGATAAACCAGCAGCAGCACCCGTAGCACCCCCAAAAAAGAAGGGCACGGTGAAACAGAAGATAGCAGAGAAAGAAGCTGCGAAAGCTGCGCGAGTGGGAAATGATGATGTGGAGTATGATGAAGACTCTGTCCTTGATCCGCGCGACAAGGCGAGGTTGGATAGGGAGCGGGAGATTAAAGCTGATTTGGATAATGCTGCTGCGCTTTTTGGTGCTGCTGGCCTCGGAGGTGGGTTTTAGGCTCGGAGTTGAATTCGGGTTGTTGGTTTGGGCGTTTTCAGCTGATCCCTCCGCGCCTGTGTTTGCAGGCACCTCATCATCCGATCTAGACGCGCTGACTTCCGCCGATCCCCGCACAAAAGAGGATTTCCAGGATTTCTCAGCAAGAATCATCGAATTCATCGTTAAGCAACATGAGACCAAGCCTTTGTACGCGTCATTCGTGGAGCATCATGTCCGAGAACTCTGTCAGCCTTTGAAGGACGTGGAGATCAGGAAAGCTGCGAGCGGGCTTACGACGCTTGCTAATGAGAAGCAGAAAGAGCAGAGAGACAAAACGAGTGGGAAGAAGAAAGTCAAAGCTGCTGCAAAGCCTGTCCTAGGTTCGGCGAAAGTCGCCAACAAGTGAGCATATTGTTTTGATCAGTCGTTGCGATCGCTGATTGGCTTTAGATTTGATACGGGGGTGTATGATGAAGCGCTGGATGATTTCGGTACCAACCAAGATGATTTCATGTAGAACAGTACCTGGCATCTACTACATTACGTTTGAGTAGATTTTTGTCTTTTTAGTATGAGCTGATATATCAAAGCTCAGTCGTCCTCGTCTCCTTCGTCTTCGCTCGCTTCGTCATCGTCGACGAGACCTACTAACCCTCCACCTTCTTTTTCCTTCAGAACGCGCCCGGCTTCGCTGAGCTTCGAAGCGAATGCTCTCCGTGCACCAGAGTTGGCGCCGACGTCCCATATCTGTAGCTTCGCTCTAGAGCCTGCTGCAGCAATCGTAAGGGGGTCGTCTGGTGAAAACACCGCTGTGAAGACTTTGCCCTAATATCGCGAATCAGCACATGATATTGATGCGACGACGGAATCAAATAAAATACTGACCACTTCCATATCTCTTGACGCAACCATGCTCACAGCAGGCTTGCCTCCAGCGGTCTGGTCTACGTTCCACACTTTGACGAGTTTGTCCGTCCCTCCCGTGCATATACAACCCCGTAGCAATGGGCTAACGTCAAGAGCCGAGACGGCACCATCATGAGCAGAGAGCGTAAACCGTGCTGGTGAAGGGGATTTCATATCCGTAGGAAGCGCCCGAGCATCAAAGTTGAGCACGAGGCCATTTTCTAACGAGACCTAAAAACCCATCAACGATTAAAACATTTGACAACGAATCAAGATTGACACTCACGTAAAACGCATGCGTTTCCCAAGGATCCCATCGCAAAGCCTCAACATCGGCCCCAAGCACAGCTCCAACACCTGTGTCCGGTGCCCTAGAATCAAACACCCGAACCGTCCTATCATAACTTCCAGACAAAAGCACTGTCGGTTCTTTCTCGTTCCATTGCACAGCTTGCACCTTATCCTTGTGCACCCCGAAGCTCCTTATCGCTCCCTCCCCATCCACGATCGGACGGGACAAATCCCATAGCTTCACTGTACGATCCGCAGATGCGCTCGCTAGCATGTGCCGATGACTGCGGTTCCATGAGAGCCCGAGGACTGCGTCGACGTGGTATGCGTTCGATGAGGGACGGTGTTTTGTCTTTTTGCGCTTCTTTTTACCTGTGCCCGCTGGGACGGGTACATGTGCGGCTGTCTGATCAGGTCTGCCAAGGATCATGTCGGGGTACATGCTTTCCACGACATCTAGTGACCATATTTCGATTTCAGGATCGAGCGTGCCGACTGCGATGTAGTTTCCGAATTTTGGTGGGGCGTCAGTTTCCATTTCTGAGGATGTAGGTGGGAAGTCAAGCCATTCGAGGCAGAGGGGGAAGTTTGGGAGCATGAGGTCGTGATGGACGTAGAGGTTGTCTTGGGATTCGTCGTAGACGTAGATCTCGAGTTGGGAGACATCGTCTTCGGTTTTTGCGGTGACTAGGAGGTTGTCTGTTGGGAGGATTTCGAGTTCTGAACGCTCATCATCTTCAACATCCTGTATAGCGTTAGATGCAAATACGAGAAAGGTCAAACAACCGCACGTCTTTGAGTGTGATGTATGGATCGTCCTGGTTATCCCTATAGAATGTAAGTCCTTTAATATTGCTAAATGGACCCGTGCCTGTTAAACATCAGCATCACTGAATAGACCGTGTCCACAGACGTACCATCTTCTTTGACATCGTCATCGTCATATTCATCCAACTTATACTGCGCAAGATCATCCCCCTTTTCAGGCACATCGACCTGTACATCCCCGTCCACCTCCATCGACGCATCCTCCTCGCTTTACAATACCATCAGCAAACATCACAAGGAGTAAAAACAAAAACACGCACTCGACCCATGCATCTTCATCACCATCCTCATCCGCATCATCCGCCTCAGCACCTTCCGCGCCCTTGCCCATACTCTTAGCAGCATTGTGCGCACGCTCCATCTCTATCCGGGCATCCTCAAGCTCGATACGTGCGAGTGTACTGACGCGCTCGAGTTCCTTCTCATCGAGGACGTATTTGGAGGGCTGGTGGGCTGAAATGCCTCGTTTTACCCTGGAATTTGCGTTAGATATGTGGGATGTGCAAGAAGGGGATTTGTTACCATGATACACAGGAGATGAGGTTGCTCATCGTTTGTGATGATGAGCAGCGAATCTAATTTTTTGTGATCGTGGTCACGTGATTATTTCAATTTCGCCCCTTGCGGCGGTACTTTTCATGCCAGTACTGTACTACCGTACCTGCAGTATGTACAGTCACTGATTGGCGTACAACTTGTTACCTTCGCTAAGATTCTATGATCAAAAGACACGTACAGCGCGTATCACGAGGTGAGTACCTTGAATATCATGACAACATCATTTTATCTACAATTATTTGCAAACCTTGTGACTTCCGCCCACAAACACAATCATTGGTGTGATAAACGAGCACTCGCTATTGGCTGCGGAGAAAACTCAGGCGTTCATTTACCCATGGTGCCATTATAATCGACAGAGCCTTTGGCAGGTATCTCAATCTGTCCTGCGATTTTCAAATGAGTCACGATCTATGTCAGTATATTCGTCATTTGTGGTCCCTTTCTGACTTCATTCGCAGTCTCTGGTAGTTCTCGATCATCGGAAGGAACTTGGGAGAGACTGTGTCAAGTCGCTGTCAAGGGTGCCGAATATGACTCCCCTGAACGCCAGCCACATCCAAGGTGTTTGGAAGGGACCCGAGTGACCCTTCTTGACGACATTTACCAATCATTAGACAACCCGGAGAGGAGTCGACTCATTTGGCTACATGGCATGGCGGGGGTCGGAAAGTCTGCAGTTGCATTTTCTGTCGCTGAAAGGATGAGAGGTCTGAAAGTCACAGAGCAGACGAAGACCGAGACACGGCTGGCGGGCACGTTCTTCTTCTCACGTAAAAAACCTAATCGCTCTACAACTGGGTATTTTTTTGCAACGCTTGCCTATCAGCTTGCCTGCAATTTTCCCAGCGTGCGGGAGGACTTGAACCGAGCCATTCACGACAATCCCGCTCTTCTAGACCCCAACAAATCTCTTCGCGACCAGATGGAAGGACTTTTTCTGAGACCTCTGCGGGGGCTTCAATTCAGACTGCGCAATTGTCTGCCTTCTACGTTCGTTATCGATGCCCTTGATGAATGTGTATCCAAACCCGAGCTCACGGATCTCATCTCCTTGCTTGACCAAGCACTCCGTGAACCAAACTTACCTGTGATCCACATCCTGCTAACTAGTCGCTCGGAAACCCATATCTGCAATGTCATCCAAAAAACAGAAGTGCGTTCACTGGCGTCCAAGATACCAGCCGGAATCTCCGGGGAGGGCATGGGTACCGTGATCATCTCGTTAGATGGTGCGATAGATGTCGACAAGGACATACGCAGGTTCTTGGAGCATTCCTTCATAGAGCTTGGAAGTCATCCTGGTTTTCCGCAGCCAACGGCAGATGAACTTGCACAACTGGCGAGCCGGGCGGGTAGGCGTTTCATTGTGGCGTTCACGATGATGAAATTCATCGAACACGGATACCAGGATCCCCGCGATCGACTTCAGGTCATGCTCAGGTTCACGAGCGAGCTGCTACCAGGAAAGGAGGTGTACGAGTTATACAACCGTATCCTCGCCACATGCGCCAACCCCGTACGGGCATACCTGCACTTGTCTGTCGTTGCCGCCCTTGCAGACCCTCTCCCTATCCGACAAATATCGGAACTTCTGGGTCCTGGCGAGGGTAGGGATGTAGAGAAAACACTGGCGCAGCTACGATCCGTCATCGACATTCCTACCGATAGCAGTCTCCCGGTGAATATCTACCACTCGTCGGTTCGTGACTACATTTCCGACCCTTCAAACTGTAACTTGATCGAGGTGCAACGTATCAAACACTCTCACTCCATACTTGCATGTTCCTCTTTCCGCTTAATGATGCGAGAAATTCCATTAAGCACGGCTTTCCAAAATGTGCTATTAGAATTAAACAAGCAAAGCAAAGCTATGCGACCGCACGACCCAAAAGCCCTAAAGCGCTCGTTAGCCTTCATTGTCGAGCCACCCGAGCCACTACATGCTCTGATAGGTCTGCTATGGACTCGGGGATATCGACGTTCAGCGTTACAATCTTGGACAATGAGTCGGGACGGGCTTGCCTGGCTGCAGACCCTCGGAGGAAATGACTGGCTGCGGACTCAGGAGGGGAAGGACTGGCTAAAGACAGAATGGGGACAGGACTGGCTACAGACCAGGTGGGGCAATGATTGGTTGAGGAGTCATGGAGGCGAGGACTGGTTACAGACCCAGTGGGGAAAGGAGTGGTTGCAGACCCAGTCGGGGGAATATTGGCTGCAGACCTTGGGGGGCAAACTCTGGTTGCAAACTAAAAGCGGGCACGACTGGTTGCATACTAGGAACGCGCAAGGCTCCCTGCAGTCCCATAAGCAAGACTGCTCATTAACCCACGAACAAGAGTGGCTCCTAACCCTCGAGCAAGAGTGGCTGCAGACTGAGCCGCTGCAAGGTCAAAGCGTGGAGGACTGGCTGCAGACCCTGGAGGGAAACTGGCTGCAGAGCCTAGAACGGGACTGGCTGCAGCATACACAAGAAGGTCAAGAGTGGCTGTGGAATGAGAGGGAAGACTGGTTGCATCAGTGGGCAAAAGACTGGCTAAAGACTCAGGGGGGGAAGGACTGGCTGCGGACTCAGGATGGTCAATATTGGTTACAGACTCAGGATGGGCAAGATTGGTTACAGACTCAGGATGGGCAAGATTGGCTATGTAGCCACGGAGGACGAGAGTGGCTGCAGGCCCATACAGAGCGAGACCAGTTGCAGATTACGAGTGACTTGTCACAGACCGAACTGCATACAGAGAGCCTGCAAGAGTGGCTGCAGACCCAGGACGGGCAAAGATGGCTACAGACTGAGAGCGTGGTGGACTGGTTGCAGACCTTCGAAGTACACGAGTGGTTGCAGACACACAGCGGGCAAGGTTGGCTGCAGACCAGGAGCGGGCAGCAGTGGCTACAGACCGAGAGCGGGGAGAATTGGCTGCAGACCAGCAAAGGAGAAGAGTGGCTGCGGACTCACCATGGGCGAGGCTTGGCTGCAAACCGAGAGCGGACGGGACTGGCTGCAGACCCGAAGCGGACAAGACTGGCTGCAGACACCCGATGGTCGCACTTGGCAGACGACCCTTGCGGCATCTGTCTGGCTGACAATTGAAGAATTCTCCATTACATTTGAAGCAATAAACGAGCACATGATCGACCCGGAAATCCATTTACTGCCAGCTTTTCAGGTTATCCAGCAGTTCAAAAGCTTACCGGATTTCTTGATGTTTCCGGCGTTCCTAGCATTAAGGCATCAAAGTCATTCCAGTCCTGCATTATTACTACCGCCAATTTTTTGTCTCCCGGACATGGATATTTTCCGTGCTATGGAGGCCTTTGTGAATTTCGCAAAGGAAGCACGAGAACGGAGTCAATCGGCTTCCGACGCTCTCAAGTACGCATGCCAAAACTGGGCATTCCATCTCTCGCGAGTTAACGTTCATCTATGGAATGATGATGAGCTGAACTGCAAATTCAAGCTTTTTTGGAATCGTCATCTCCTCTCGTGGCTCGAAAGGCAGTGGTGCTTGAAGGGGCTTCTGTCTTGCCTCCTCATCCTAGCGGAAGGACAGAAACATGCAAAGGTGTGTGGTTACATTGATTCGTACAAATTGCGCATATAGTAATATGTCGCCTTCAGGCTCAAGGAATATCTCAGCCAAGTGTTTGAACTTGTCAGCGTACCTGTGATTCTTTTCAGTGAACTTTCAGCCCGTAGTCGAACCTCGTCAGAAGGAAGATTGTCCGTACAATAATATAATCTTTGTTTACAAGCGTATTGACTTTCTTCAGCAAGCAAAAATTTATCGCTGGGTTATCATTTGCGTCAGGAGGCTGGCTGTGCCAATCTGGGGGTTTGGGCAAGCTTGCCAGGTTGACGTCTGGATTCTACGCTTTCTGGAATCGTCATCTTGTCTCCTGGCTCGACATGCAGTGCCAGTGGTGTTCGAAGGGTCTGAGGTCCTGCCCTATCGCAAGCCGATCTTCAGACCACACAAGTGCTGTGTCAACATCGGTCGGCCCGCTGAATGTGTCTTGATCTAAACAGTGAATCATCGCTGCTCAATGGAGTAATACAATCTCCTTCGAGTTGCTCTGGCACGCGGCGCCTCAATGAACAAGTTCTATTCCTCGTATGTTGGCAGCTGTTTCCTTGCTCGGCTAGCCGTCTTCCATGGCACGGGCCATCGGACTGATGAGCTACAGATATTGGATATACGATCACACGTAGAAAATTCGAAAGTTTTTGCTATATTGTAGGAAGGGAAAATGCGGTCTTATAGAACAGTGTACGAGATAAAGAAAACAGGTATGGTACAAATAGCCGGTATAGTCTGTTCTGAGGTGTTCGGATGGGCGTCTATGTCGATTTGATATGAAACAACCCCTCCGCACTCCTTCCGTCGGCACTGGGCGCTTGAGCATGCTGATTGTGCGAGGCACGCCTAAATGCAACTGTTGAGTCAGAATGGTTGAGTATATATAGCACAGCGCAGTATAACTACAGACCATACCATCAGTTCCACATGCCCTGAGCATACAGACCCAGTATATCGCTAGCCAGTGTCGGACTATTCGATGAAACATCATGCATAGTGTAAGTCTTATCCTTCTGTAAGCTGTTGAGGATGCCGATAATCTCCTTTCCAAGGAAGTTTAGGAAGACAACATCGATAGGTGTGTCGGCCGTCACATTAGGGGAGATTGAGCCAACATAGAATGGAACATCGTAGTTGGGCAACGGGGTGTGCAGTGTATCGTCTGCATTATCAGCGTCGGGGCATGACTAAACGAGTGTTATGAGCATAGAACAAGCGCGGCATGGAACCCTTACATCTCTCGTGACATAACCAAATGGTGCTTGTCCACCCCCTCCAGGACGGCCGTCTATCTCCTCCAACCTGACACTGTCCGCAGTATCATCGATTCGATTTCAGGATCGAGCGTACCGACTGCAATATAGTTTCCGAATTTTGGTGGGGCGTCAGTCTCCATTTCTGAGGATGTAGGTGGGAAGTCTAGCCATTCGAGGCAGAGGGGGAAGTTTGGGAGCATGAGGTCGTGGTGGACGTAGAGATTGTCTTGAGATTCGTCGTAAACGTAGATCTCGAGTTGAGAAACATCGTCTTCGGTTTTGCGGTGACTAGGAGGTTGTCTGTTGGGAGGATTTCGAGTTCTGAACGTTCATCATCTTCAACATCCTGTATAGCGTTAGATGTAAATAAGAGAGAGGTAAAACAACCGCACGTCTTTGAGTGTGATGTATGGATCGTCTTGGTTATCCCTATAAAATATAAGTCCTTTAATATTGCTAAATGGACCCGTGCCTGTTAAACATCAGCATCACTGAATGGACCGTGTCCACAGACGTACCATCTTCTTTGACATCATATTCATCCAACTTATACTGCGCAAGACCATCCCCCTTTTCAAGCACACCAACCTGTACATCCCCGTCCACCTCCATCGACGCATCCTCCTCGCTTTACAATACCATCAGCAAACATCATAAGGAGTAAAAACAAAATCACGCACTCGACCCATGAATCTTCATCACCATCCTCATCCTCATCCGCATCATCTGCCTCAGCACCTTCCGCGCCCTTGCCCATGATATTAGCAGCATTGTGCGCGCGCTCCATTTCTATCCGCGCATCCTCAAGCTCGATACGTGCAAGTGTACTGACGCGCTCGAGTTCCTTCTCATCGAGGACGTATTTGGAGGGCTGGTGAGCTGAAATGCCTCGTTTTACCCTGGAATTTGTGTTAGATATATGGGATGTGCGAGACGGAGATTGGTTACCATGATACACAGGAGATGAGGTTGCTCATCGTTTGTGATGATGAGCAGCGAATCTAATTTTTTGTGATCATAGTCACGTGATCTTTAAAACGATTTGAATTCAAGGCATTACGGTTCAACGTTGAACTTTCAACAGTTAACCTTACCATTATAGAATTTTATCAGAGCACCTTTAGGCTCTCACTAGGCTATGGATTCATTGGAAGCGGAGCAAAATGGACCATCAAGTGCCAGTGGATCTGTTTTTCAGTGACTTTGCTGCGCGTCTATCTAGACGTGGGTGACCTAGCTGCCAAGAATGTACAGCAATCATACAGCAACCGGACGAGTGCTTGCATGCTGCCACCAACACCACCACCACCATCACGCCTGGAACCGATTAAAATATTCTACTAGTCGATCTCAATCGACAAGCAGCTTTTACACCCCTGATCAATTTGTTGCCCAGCTGAACCATATTGTTCCCTGTTTTAATCTTTTCGTACCAATCTACCCCACCCCAGTTCAATACATCTTCGTATGTCGTTTATCGATATCACCGTTCTTCCTATGGCTTCTAACCGCAGTGCATAACTCGACAGTACTTCCTTAGTTATTTCGTCTTGTCAACCTTTGTTAGTGAGTCAGGGAGTCCCATCTCCTTCCCTTATCTCGATAACTGACTTCTTTCATAGTGCCTCAATTGTTTGAAGGAACTTGGGAGAAGCTGTCCCAAGTGGCTGTTAAGGGTGCTGAATATGACTCCCGCGAACGCCAACCCCATCCCAAGTGTTTAGAAGGAACTCGGGTGGAACTTCTCAACTACATCCACAGATTATCAGACACAAAAGAGGGGAGTAGACTCATTTGGCTGCATGGCACGGCAGGTGTCGGAAAGTCTGCAGTTGCGTTTACTGTAGCCGAAAAGATGCGAAATCTAAAAGTCACAGAACGGACGAAAATCGAGAAGCGGCTCGCGGGCACGTTCTTTTTCTCCCGCAAGCACACCGAACGCTGCACGACTGGATACTTTTTTGCGACGCTCGCATACCAGCTTGCCTGCAATTTTCCCAGCGTCCGGGAGGACTTGAACAGAATCATCCGCGAAAATCCCGCTCTTCTAGATGCCAACAAGTCTCTTCGTGATCAGATGGAGGGACTCTTTCTGAAACCTTTACGAAAGCTTCAAATCAGACTGCGGGAGTGTCCGCCTTCAATGTTCATTATTGATGCACTTGATGAATGCGTGTCCGAAACTGAGGCCGCAGATTTCATCTCCCTACTCGCCAACGCTCTTCGAGAACCCGATTTACCCATAATCCATATCCTACTCACGAGTCGCTCAGAATCGTATATCCGCGAAGCCATTCAAGTTGAAGACGCTCACCCACTGGTGTGCGAGATACCAGTGGAAATTTCTGGAGAGGGTGTTGCTGCAATCATCTCATTAGACGGCGCAGATGTTGACGATGACATCTATATCTTCCTGGAGCATTCCTTCAGAAAGCTGCGAAGCCGGTATTCAAATTTCCCCCAGCCAACATCACGTGAACTTGCACGATTGGCTAGTCGAGCAGGGAGACGTTTTATTGTGGCGTCTACGATGATGAAATTTATCGATGATGGATATCATGATCCCCGAGATCGGCTCCATCTCATGCTGGAGTTTACTAGCGAGTTGCTCCCAGGAACGGAAGTTTACAAATTGTATGACCGTATTCTCGCCACATGTACCAACCCCGCGCGAGCATACTTGCACTTGTCTGTTGTTGCCTCCCTTGCAGATCCTTTGTCAATCTCACAAATCTCGGAGCTTCTTGGCCCTGGTGAGGGCAGGGATGTCGAGACAGTATTGGTGCAGTTACGGTCGGTGATGGATATTCCTACTGAGAGCAGTCTCCCCGTGAATATCCATCATTCCTCAGTCCGTGACTATGTTTCCGACCCCTCAAACTGCAGCCTCCCTGACGTGCGACCCATCACTTCACCGCACGCCCTACTCGCTTATTCCTCTCTTCACTTGATGATGCAAGACGTCCCAAGCACGGCCCTCCTGAATGCGCTCTCAAAATTCAAGAAGCAGAGCCGAGCCGAGCATTCCCACGATTCAGACGCCCGGACCTTAACTCGCTCACTGTCCTTCATTGTCCAGCCACCTGAGCCACTGCAAGTTCTTATGGGTCTGCTATGGCTTCAGGGAGATCGCAGTTTCTACTGCCGATCCTGGCTAGAGACCCTAGATGGTCATGAGTGGCTGCACGCTCAATGTGTGCACAACTGGTCGCAGAACCATGGGAGAAAGGATTGGCTGCGGACGCAGGAGGGCATGGACTGGCTGCAGACTCAGGGTGGGCGAGATTGGCTACAGACTCGAGGCGGGAAATTCTGGCTGAAGACTCGAGGCGGGCAATCCTGGCTGCAGACCCAAGGCGGACAAGACTGGTTGCAGACCCATAGTGGTCAGTTCTGGCTGCGGAGCACATGCGGACAAGACTGGCTGAGGACGCGGGAGGCAGGACACTGGTTGCAGATCCAGGGTGGGCGAAATTGGCTGCAGACCCGTGCCGGGCGGCAGTGGCTACAAACCCAGAGCGGACAATGGTGGTTACAGGCTCAGCAGCAAGACTGGTTGCAGACACAGGGGGGCCAAGACTGGTTGGAGAGCCAGGAGGGGCGGAACTGGTTGGATGAGAGCCAGAGCGGACAAGATTGGCTCCATACGCGGGGCGGACAAGAGTGGCTTCATACCCGGAGTGGGAAAGAGTGGCTTCATACCCGGAGCGGGCAAGAGTGGCTGCATGCCCAGATCAGGCGAGATTATCCGCAGATTAGACAAGGCATGCGACAGATGCTAAATCGAGGTTCGCTGCGAACCGCGATGCGGAGCGAGCAACCCTGGCGGAATTTTCAGGTCCAGGAGTGGCTGAAGACCCAGCGCGGCCGAGATTGGCTGCAGATTTGTGGTGGGAAATACTGGATGGAGACTCGGAATGGGCGAGACTGGCTAGAGACCAAGAGCGGGCGAGACTGGCTTCGAAGTCGAGGCGGACAGAACTGGCTGCAGACCAGGCACAGCAGAGACTGGATGCAGACCGAGACCGGGAAGGACTGGATGTGGTCCGAAAGCGGGGAAGATTGGATGCAGTCTGAGAGCGGGGAAGAATGGCTGCAATCCGAGAGCGGGGAAATTTGGCTACAGTCTGATAGCGGGGAAGACTGGCTGCAGTCTGGGAGAGGAGGAAACTGGCTACAGTCTGAGCACGGGCAAGACTGGCTGCAGTCTGAGCGCGGGGAATACTGGCCGCAGAACGAGAGCGGGCAATATTGGCTGCAGACTCGGAGCGGACAATACTGGCTGCAGACTGTGCGCGGACGAGACTGGTTACAGACTCGGGGCGGGCAACATTGGCTGCAGACGCCCCATGGTCGAGCATGGCAGTCCACACCTTCGGCATCCGTCTGGGTGACAATGGAAGAGTTCTCGAGCACATTGGAAGCAATCAGCAGATACATGATTGATCCAAAATTGTCTCTACTGCCGGCTTTTCAAGTCATTCAGCAATTCAAGAGCTTGCCGGATTTCCTGATGCTTCCGGTGTTCCTGGCGTTGAGACACCAGCATCATTACAACTCAGCATCATCGTATGGTCGTGGTCCAGATATAATCCGTGCCATGAAGGCTTTTGTAAATTTCGCAAAAGGAGCACAGGAAAATAGTCGATCAGCGTCCGATGCACTCCAGTACGCATGCCAAAACTGGCCCGTCCATCTATCGCGAGCTCCCAATCCATGGGATGCTACATTGAACCATATGTTCGAAGCTTTCTGGAATCGTCATCTTGTCTCTTGGCTCGAAAGGCAGTGGTATTTGAAGGGTCTGAGGTCCTGCCTTGTCGTTTTAGCAGAAGGGCAGAAACTTGCAGAGGTATGCGTACTTCCAATGATTCTTGACTCTCGGCAGCTGACCCACGCTTGTAGGAACATCTCATCTAAGTTCCTGAATCGTTTCAATCACGAATCTTGAAGTTGTCCATTTTGATGTGATATGTCAGTCCCGTGGATAAGGCCACTCACCTATTGTTCTATGTAGACCCAAACGAGTCTCTAATATCATGACGAGATGGGTGTATTCTTATTTAGTGCCAGAAAATAAAATGCGATAATTGATTTGCACAATTGTGTTGCGCATTCTCCATGGCCATTCAAGTCATCAGTCGAGGCTGGTGCCGATCATAGTCAATCCTACTCCCCGCATTTCATGCTTTGATAGTAGGTAAGTATATGCCGACATGCATGAGCATAGCACCATCCTGATATTCTCGAATGTCGTCGAAGTTGACCTCCAGGATCAGTAGGCCTGGGCGATGATTTCGTGAATGATCACGCCAATTGTGCGAAGCATACCTCTTATTTAGAATGTAGCTGTCGAATCAGAATGTTTGAGCAAGCAGGTTAACGATACTAGTACAGCACACTTTAACTACAGGTCATATCATCAGTTCCACATGCCCTGAGCATACAGGCCCAGTATATCGCTAGCCAGCGTCGGACTATACGATGAAACATCATGCATAGTGTAAGTCTTATCCTTCTGTAATTTGTTGAGGATGCCGATAATCTCCTTTCCAAGGAAGTTTAGGAAGACAATATCAATAGGTGTGTCGGCCGTCACGTTAGGGGGGTTTGAGCCAACATAGAATGGAACATCGTAGTTGGGCAACGGGGTGTGCAGTGTATCGTCTGCATTATCAGCGTCGGGGCATGACTAAACGAGTGTTATGAGCATAGAACAAGCGCGGTATGGAACCCTTACATCTCTCGTGACATAACCAAATGATGCTTGTCCACCCCCTCCAGGACGGCCGTCTATCTCCTCCAACCTGGCACTGTCCGGAGTGTCATCGATTTCATGGCTGGAAAATATAGCTTGGGTTTCATCTCGTTTCCGTTGTATCGCCGCCGGTTTGTTCATAGCGGGGAGCAATTGGTTTGCGATCCCAGATGTAACATTAGCAATGTATAGGAACGAATCCTGATACGGCATGATCGTTAGTTGATCGTTCTTGGTGAACGATCCTTTCAAGAGGTCGAACCGTAGAGCCCATGAATCGATTATAATGATGTTTGGAATGGAATCGCGAGTATTGTTAATAGCGAGTGCGTATGGAACAGCCTAATGAGCGCGTCAATACCTGCGCAATTTACTTCACTACAAACTCGGCACTTACATCTTCGATGAAGAGAGATACAAGAGACCCGTTGGAAGGATAAGGGTTACTAGCGCACAATGGTTGAGCTTGAGCGATAATACTACACAATGGGCACCCACTAAGACAAGGTATAATCTTGCTGAGCTGTTCCGTACAGGTGGGATAAGTTAAAGCGAGCCGCAAGCTCCTCTAGGCCACGGGTGATCGATCGTCCGTGGAAGGTATCAAATGTTCGGTTTGAGGTTCGAGTGTGGTACTAAGTAGGAGTCATGCGCAAGATTAGGCTAGCGGGGGAAACCCAAAAGTTCGGTAAAATACCTCGTAGGTCACACGGTTCTGGTCAAGATATCTCCTTGTGAAAGTAACCTTGTCACTGTTGTGCTTGGCAGCATCGAGGTCTGCGCCTAATTTTCTGGTGTTAGGTGTCTGAGATACAGTATTGTTATAAAATCGTACTCATCCAGCCTAGAAGATCATGTCAGACGATATTCCTTACTCATATTTGCAATTTACGCACCGATTGTTTCCATGTAGCGTCCGCTTTCGATACCCATGGATCGACCATCGTACTGTCGACAATCACGGATGTGGGTATGTCCTAGATCTACAATGAGCATGTCATTTGGAATGATCAAGATGGCGGCCTCCACCTCCAAATATTAGTATGGGTGTTAGAGGGTGTACAGCCCGTACAGCGTTGATAACAGTAGGCCCTGGATGAACGTTTCATTGGATTATCGTTTGACAAACATCTCAATGGCATACAGCTATCATTGGAAACAGGCATATGTCTGCAGTCGCATTAATGGAATATTTCCTTCGGCAACAAGGAATTTGCCTACCCGATAAGCACGAACGCGTCAGGCTCTTCTGCAATGGCCTCAACGAACTACAAACAGACATTAGGACGCCATGTCTCAATCACTCAAACGCATTGAATAACGTACCCACTGCTCCTTGACCATATCACCGACAGCTTGCACAGTCGTGTTCACATCGTTCCCAGTAAAATCGAATATGACTCCAAGAGAAGTGATACGACGGCCTCTGCCGTGTCAAATGAGTAAGAGTCCCCCCTCAAAGTTAACATGATCACTTACTTCCGTGTAGTGAACTTGGTGTAGCGGTCTGCAAGAATAAACGTTAACAGCAGCAACAATCATTTTGAATCCGAACTCACTGCCTACTGGGACACTCTCAGGCTTGCCGTCTGAATTGAAAACAGTGATGTTGACGTTAGAGGTCAAGTACCGCCCAGCGAGGTGAGGGACAAAGTTGGTATACCTGCAGAGCATTTGGGGCATTTTGGTAAGCCGTTTCCGAGTTTGCGAAGATGTTTGTGGGACATTCGTCCATAGAACAAGTATTGAGGAGTGATACAGACAGTCAGTAGTGTGAGCATACCAAACACAGTTAATGGGGAATAGAAAAGACGCATCATATAATGCGGGACGTGACAAAAGAAGAAGAAAAGCAAAATTTGTGTCAAGTTAAAGAAGATTCGTTCAAAATGGTTATAACGCACATATCGTACGTATCCGCATAACCATACAATTCGTGGCTATAAAAGGGAGATTGAGGAGACGAATTAGGAGAGGACTCGGACTACAAATTCAACACCTACTTTCCGATGGTCATGAGATCGTAGGGGAGGCGCTCGATGAACTTGTTCGACTATGAATGGCGCATCCGACATGTCAGCATTAGTTATATATATCACCCGTGAATAGAACGG